CTGTGGAACCTTGTGGTAGAGTTATAATAACAGGAAAATCGGTTTTATACTTCAAAAGCAGCGGAAAGGTAAAAAGTAAGTGACCAATTGGCGGGCGTCCTTGAATTTTATTTTAATCGATTTGGCTGAAAATCTAAGTTTGTGTAATTATCGTGGCTTGAAATAGTTAATCGCCCGCTGGCAACCAGCTGCGAAATTCTGGTCGCCAGTGCAAAATTTTTAGTCGCATTGGCAACCAGGAAAGCGCAATTTGGGACCTTGTATACAGTAGTTTAAGAGTCAAATCATAGAAGGTAATGTGATGCTCATGCATTTCACTTGTAAGTAAAGTGCATCCATGTTATGTTGTTTACTTCTAGATCTTCCATCCTTCATTGAGACACTACACAGTGCAGCAGCTGGGTTAAATCAAAGTCAAGAAAGATCTCTGCAAGTTGGTTGACAGACTATCGTTTCGTTACAAACCAAGTGTTAAGGATATAGGAAGTGTACAAAATAGTGTACATCAGTGTTGAGAAGAAGATTCAATGCATTTCTCTGGGGAACTTATCAATTACTACAAAGTCAAACAAACACTTATTTTTGCATGGGAGACATTACGACCCTTAACAACACAAGTGTGATTGTCAACTGTGATTGTTCATTAGCAGTAGAAGTAGCTTGGAGTGTGCAACATGATTCAAGTTTGCTCTAGGAAACTATTCATGTTTGTAGACCTGATGGCTAGTCAATAACTCAAACTGCAAAGACTGTGTGAATTGAACTTCATGGATGCGCCTGTACAGTCAGGGGTCAAGTGCAATTATTGGAATAACTTTATAGGAACACTCGAAGAGTTTCTGATTTGTATTTTCCAGTCCAAGAAAATATATTTTTGGTAGTGCTCTGTCACTTAGTTTAGTACTAGTGATACACCATTAAAAATTATCAGAGGAAAAAAGTGTTTATTTGTTGACTGTATAGTATACAGACGCCCTGCTCTCCTGCACGGAGATTCAGATACTTGTCGGAATCTGCTGTGCAAGGTGACCACAGGTACAAACTCAGTTAACTCATCGCTCAGTCGATTCTTCCTACACAAACAAACCCTTTGATCCTCTGCAGAAGAGAGAGAGAACAGATGAAATGTGTTCTTCCTGCCTGACGTGCTGACATGTCATATGAACAGAAACTAAATAATAAGTTGAGGGAAAGGGAAAGAATTGATCTTTTCGGATCCTGGGGATCTGAGAACTCAGAAGGCCCAGTAGTTCCGGCTTAGTGTTCCAATGGGACTATGGCTTCCCCAACGGACTAGGGTCCCATTCTGGAGGCGGAAGTTCCCCCCCCCCCTCCACCCCCATCCGAACATTTTTGCTACTGAACCAAAGTCTAACATGCCGACATGATTTAAAAAGAGAAAATTAGCAAAGTTCCACCTTAGATTTTCAGTAATTTCCATGGTCCTGCATACTGTTGTGCTTTCCCTTATCCGCGCACCTATGAGGTGTGCCAGTTTTCCCGTTGTGGAATCCCAATTGGTTCCTTCCACACTGCGTTCTTCTGTGCTTCCCGTGTGTTCTGTTACTTGCTCGTATATTTCGTCGTTACGGCCTGCCCTTACCGCATGCTCCAGCGGCGCTGCCTTGTCCATTTGATTTCCGAATGTGTAAGAAAGGGCAAGTAATCCTGGGGCCAGCGTTTTTTGGAATCAAAGGGTCAGAAGGTGTTTGCTTACTCTCTCTCTGGGCTGAAAGGGAGAAACTTGTTGAGTACAACTTGCCACTTCCAAGCCATCTTTATGAAGTTTGTCTTTTGCAGTTTGTATTGCAAATGGCAAACAAGAGCGAAAAGGAGACTGATCAGTTGTGAAACATTTGATGTTCTCTGGGTTGTGTGAAGGATCATCTTGGATGCCCATGCTCCAGGGAAATTCGACAATAGAAGTAATATATCAAACACGAGAGACTGCTTCATCGGGATATCCAAACACCGAGAAGACAGTTAAAAATAAGACACGCAGGGCAGTATTGAAAAAATTCGAGGTGTTTAGATAACCGATGAAACACTGTCTCGAGTGTTTGATATATCTCCTCAATTGAAACAAACACTAAGGAGTAAACGGAGAAACAAAATCGTCCAATCTATGCTAATTAAGACCGGGTACCCAAACCTCCTTCACGGATGTGATTTCCTTTGTCTTAAGTTGACGAATTACTAATAAGTTTGAGAACTGGCTTTTAAAATGATTCAACAGAACCCGGAATAAATTGGATACCAAGATTATTAACTTTCCACCCTATAGTTAAACGCATTAAGCTTGTGTTCTCTGAGAGTATTTTATTGTTGATATTTCGTACAATTCTTGCCACTACAGTAGATTCTACATAAATACTCTTGGTATTTAAAACGTCTCCACACACTTTGTATCAAAACTCGGATAGCGTAGTGCACTTAAGTCAAGAAGGGGGAGAGGGGGGAGAGTGGGCAAAGACGCATGTTTATTGTGTGACTCCATGTGATAACCAGTCACCATGGTCGGTCTTGATCCGAACTATGGAATCTCGTATAGACCTTGCACTTATGAACCTGCATGAATGCTCGATATTTCAATGTAAACTTCTCTAAATCGTCGAACACACACACGACTATAAAACACGAACTATAATAACGGCTTTGGAAGCCATTTTCACACACTATTTTTTAATGAATTTTAAAAACCGATGAAAGAATGCAACTTCAAAACGTAGGTAATTTTCACACAAAATGAAACTTTTCAAAAACATTAAAAATAGTCGGTGTTTCTAAAGAATAGCTTTTAGAATGCTAAAGTGAAACTATAGAGCTTAAAGTTATCGTGGTATTCCCGTGGTTGCTAGTTAAACACTGGAAACCTGTTCAGATTCACATGTGTTCTTATGGTGGCGCCAGTCCTTCGATTGGCAATCACGGCCACAGTAACCACGTTTGCAGCAAGCAGAGCACTGGAAATGAGCCACAGCGCCACACGGACAGAACAGCTGGGCTGCTTCTGTAGAAGAAAAAGAGATCTCTTTGGTCCTAGTGTAAATTTAATTTTAAATAACCCAGGTCAATGATGTCACTGTTACGCCAAATTAATCTCGTTGTCACGCCTCCCGTAACCACCACCATGTTAACTGCCACCCACTCAGAGCAAGCGACTGGACACATGCAAGCTCCATGCACAGGAACTAGTATCCCATCCAGCGAGAGATCAGCAATACTCATAATTTCTTCATGCCAAGGTAAGTGTCTGTCTGGCAAAAGGTGTTCTTTTAACAAACCCTCTATTAAGGTCATTCCACTGAAATAGAACCTACACTGAGATTTTTGTGAAACTTTGCCTATTGATTGTTTATATTATAGGAACTTAAATTTTGAAATAAAAATGAGGGGTCCCCATGTTCGTTTAGGAGCAACAGCACCTTGTTTATACCCAATAAATCCATATAATAGCACCATGATTGTAGTCACGATTGCTTGCGAAATTCACGTTTCCGACGATTGTTTTTTGTTCTACACTGAGAATTGGTCCATATTTATTTTACACAGAAATTTATTACTCAATTCTAAACACCAGAAAAAAATGATAGGTCACCATACTCGTTTGCGAGAAAATGACGATTTACCTCTATGGCGAGGTCCAGCTGTAAAGAAAAAGCCTCCATTTTCTAATGCGCGCGCGCTAATCACGTGTGAAATTATGCGCAGTAGGGATGCGCAATGCAATACTGTGGAATGACCTTAAGACATCATCGACTACACAGTATTTGGCAATCTCTTTTTTCACCATTGTAAGCTGAAATTAGCTGTGACCTTAACCGTATCATTCACTCGCACTTCGTACAGTTCTAACCTTGGTTGTTGACAAATCTAATGATCACCGACAAGTTGTACATGCTTTTGGTTGTTTCCTCACTGGAAGGTTCAACATCAGCCATCATGGAGTCCTGGAACAAGAAAACCCTGCCGTGTAAAACGGCTGAAAATTCTCTCTTGAGTTTAGCTCGGATCTCACTCAGAGTAGCATCGCTAGAAAATTCGACGAAACCGATCTTTGTGAACGGCTTTCTTCCTTCTCCTCCAGTTGCAGTGTTGAGAACGTTTACAGGAAGCCTTACTGTATAGGATTCCTCTGTTGAAAAAAAGAAAAAAACGTTCAATTTATTTTTGGAACAAAGACTGAAATAAGATGGTGCAATACACATCGTTACCATTCACCAACAGAGAGTTCGATTTATATTTTTATATCTTTCTAAGGATTTTCCATTGTTTCCCAGTTGAAAACCAAGAGCAAGCTATTTTAAAGAAACGGGCATAAAAAAGTTGAAAAACATAGCTACAGATATTGTTAATCAATAATTGCTGTACCCTCTACTGTGATATCGTTTCGCTCGTAGCTGTTCCCAATGAATCCTGGGGGAAGCGAGGTGACAATCTCTCTGGGTGTACTGTGGCCTGAACTTGAAAGACTGGAATCGCGTGACCCAGCTTCTGCTGTAAATTAATAGTACAAATTTGTGACAAATAAATAATGATGGAAGGTTCTTCCTTACAAGTTGGTAAACAGCACAATCCAATATGGCGAACAATGTACACCCACTAAAGAGTAATCCATTCGGTAAAGTTTAAGTTTTTTTCTTAAGACTTTGTAGCGATTCTAAACCATTTAATCTAACCAATCACAGCTCGATGTAGAAGAGGTGATTGGTGTGGCAACATTTCTCGGCGGGAGATCCAACAGCACAAGACGCGTTAAATTTTGACCAGTCGGATCAAAACGCGACCCATAAGAAAATTGTCAAAAAGGCGTGAAAAATCCTGTGGAGTGGCTAAGCCAAAGCACCTATCCCTGTGCTTGGATTGCTAACATAGGTTATACATTGTTCATCAGTCACTGACAAAAAGAATTCAATATCTGTTTTCGCTACAAATAAAAACTCGTTTGTCCAAGGAGCAGAAGTTACATAAAACCAATTAAGTGTCTCTAACAATGTTACACGAAAAAGGAAAGGCCTTCCCCCTTCTAATATAAGCTGAAATAAAAGAATTTGACTTTAACACCTACTTCTTCAAAACACTATTTTCCAAGATATAAGAGAATTTACTCCACCGGTACTTTTAAAAGAAATCTTTCAGAAGGAAAGAGAAGCACCTTTAAACCACCAGATAATATCCATTCCCCCTCCATGATAGTGTGTGTAAGTTCCAGACGTTCAAACAACTTACGTGATTTTTGTGGCCTCAGTCTCTTGTGCAATACAGCTTTCTCAATGACAAAATGCTCCGGGCTTCGGTCGAGCAACTTCGAGCCACTGATTTGTGGTGTCAGCGATTTCTTGCTGGGAGAATGCTCACCAGTCGTCGAAGATAACGACCCTCTTTTGGCGAAATCTTCGTCCGAAGAATCACTGTTGACATTGCACAAGCTGTTTTGAGCTGGCAATCTTTTCTGCGGCGACTTGCCTCGCTTTGGCGTTCGTGGGCTCAAATCCAGCGGCGATCCTTCCGTTGAGGAGTTTACCCCCGTCAAAAGCTTGCTGTCACTTTTCTGCTTGTTGGTCAGCAGTTTTCCAGCAGGTGCCGTTGCTTTTAGCATCGCACTTGATGCAAGAGAAGAGACTGGGACTTGGGGAGTAGAAATACGTCTTACAAGCGCAGGAGAACCCCTTTCGGACCACGCCTCCACAGACACCTGTGAAGAGGCAGACTGAACTTTTCTTAACTTTCGTTTTGAAAAATTGTCAATCTGTGCGAGTGAGTTTCGGGAAGACGATCTCGGCGATATAGACGCTTCGCTATCAGAGTAATCGAAGCTGTCATTGGAGAATCCACCAATCAGGACCATCTCGGTATCTGCTGCCTCACTGCTCATGCGCGAGGTTGAACGCGAATCGATAATATTGATTTTACTCGAGTTCTTCCACGAAAATCTGTCTTTTCTTGACTTGATCCGTTTCCTCACGCAGAAGCAGGCCACTGCAACAATAACAACAACAGTAACCACCACGCATACAGCGATGACCGCAGCTGTTGGAAATGCGGATTGGTCGTCACCGGCGATGGACAGCGTATCATTGCCGTGATAATCCTCCCCGTCTACGCGCATGACTTTTTGCGCTTGATACTCATTGCTGTTGACACGCACAGTATACCCTGACTTCAACATATCCCATAATGCAACGAGAGTTTTGTCCATCCGGGATGTCTGGGTTGTGATGTCAAAATAAACCAGTATGCTTCCGCGTGCAAATCTCATGTTACCAATCTTCGCCCATGGGAATCTCGCCGTTAAGTCCGTAATAATAGTTTTTGCAAAAGAGTCTTCGTTGCCTTCGACTTCGGTAAAATCGTTTTCAAAGACAAACATGACGTTCTTCGTATCAGGTGGATCTTGACATGTTGCATAGGACTCTGTAACGTTGACCGTCAACTGAGATGAATGGCCACTCCTTATCACCATATCAGCATTTGGTGACAACTGGACTTGGAGTGTTGTAGAGAACATTGGAACGCGCGAGAACTTGAACAGCGGAGTCACTACTGCCTGGCGCAGAGCATCCTGGGTAACTTGAATCATTGACAAACCCATGTTTGAAATTTCTATCTTGGAGTTTTTAGCCATCACATGAAAACTTTCGTCTCGACTCTCCGCCTTCACGATGCCTCCAAATAATTCGTTCAGGTTATCGTACGTTGTTATCAGCTCTCCGGAGTCGAATGAGGTGCCCATAAGTTGCAAGCTCAAGACCTTCTCCCTGCTGGCAAATTCGAAGTACACTTTCGTGTTTGAATCTGTTTCCATCTTTCCATCTCTTGTGCTTAGCTTGGCTGTTACTTCAAGTGCGCAATCTGTTGATTTATTCTGGTGATCAGGGAAGTTCACGTGAAGGGAACGAACGAATCGCACCATGTCCATATTCGCACGAGCTAGCAGATAGGCGTCATTTCGTTCTACGACTCCATTGAGATTGAAGTCCATAATTTGTTGCTTTAAGAAAAAAAAGAAAGAAAACAAAAGGATTTGAGCAAAAAGAAAATGCTTGTTAACTATTTCTAATTTTATCATGGTGCCTCTAAGAGAACTAAGGGACACAGAGAGTCTTAAAATTCATAGACACATGTATACAATCTAATAACACCTTCCTGGCTGCTATTTTGGATCAAAAAAACATAAACGAATTCGAATCAAAATAAACTGTTATATGTATGTCAGTAGACCCCGGACTTTCCTATATGCTATCTAAGCTTCTAAAGTACTTTCTTTTCACATCTTCTGACATTTTTTTTTTTACCAATATAAGATACTTACCATTGTATCAGTCGTGCTTTTTGACATCGTTTGCTCAAATTCACCGACGAAGTTCTTTTCCTGTGCTAGACTATATGCCATTGTGAAAGCAGCGTCCCGGATATCGAACACACAATCCGCGTTAGCATCGCCCAGCGGTAGCGCATTGCATGACGTCACAGCTGGTGCAAAGTTCCCAATGAATCCCAGCCTTTTGTCAATTAACATGTTCACCGAGGCTTGGATGCTAAGCACGCCGTCGACTAATGAATCGAAAACCGGGTCAGCAACATGCGGACTTGCATCATCGGGATTTGTCACATCAGCTAAATGCAGTTGTCCTTTAGTGTGGGAGTAGGCACTGCTTCTTTTCAGTTCAACAAACCGAACTTGGCGATCATCGTACAAAATCTTCAAATCAAAGGCAAGAAGCTTTGATTTGCCAGGATTCACGCGTAAAGGAATGGTAACTCTCTGGTTAGCTATTAATGCTGGTACTGCTGGGCCGTACTCCTGTCCAATGTCAACACCACCCACTGGTGGGACTGTGTTACAATACAATTGCACATGCTTTGGTTTTCCAAGACCCTGAAGCGGAGTGACTGTCACGGTCACCAAGTCATGATAGTCTGACAGCAGCATAACAACCCCCGTCACGCGGTCAACCGAAGCTGCTTTTTCGTGACTGATTTTAAATGCTACAAGTCCAGAGATTGCGGAGAAATTTTGCACTCTAAGCACAGAGCTATCATTCATAACAAAGTCTACTTGAACCTGGGCCTGCGTGGACAACACTGGACCCAAAAGAGTTTGATTCCTGAGCCCGATTATTTCCACGGCAAGGATTTCATTAACTGTTATTACTTCCGTTGAAACTTCGAGAACAAGATTCCCCGACTCTTTACCGGAGAACTGCCCACGAAAGCTCATGTACCCGCTTGTGCTCGTCCTGTCTATAAACAGCACGTTCTTAGGAATAGAATCCATGGAAACTTTAACTCCTACGTCATTGCTTACGACACGAAATGATGTCGACGTCATCGTGGAAACATCGGTGGTGGACTTATCCGTCAAAACGAGGCATAGCTTGAGAGCAGCCAACTGGACGTTTCCATGGAGACTTCCTATACGCTTCAACGACGTCAAAGTGGCATTCGATCCTTCAATGACTGGATAAGGAACAGCTGTTAACTGTAGCGAAGAGTAACCCACCACATTTACTGTGACGCGAACATTGTAAACGTTGTGAACACGAACAATGAGGACACCTTGACCCAGCAATCCGGCGCTGTTTGCTTTAATAATCTTCTTGTCGTCAGCTTGGACAACTGTGAAAAGACCACGTGATTCGGACTTGTCGTCAAATGTCAGTCTGCTGTCATCAGAGGAGAGCTTTACTTTGTTTCCTGTTGACAAACATATAGATCAGCTTCCATTTAAGTTTGTTCTCTGTCCTAGTCTCAAGTTAAGTACACCGTATCGGTTTATCCAGTTGGTATCACATATAGCCTTGCCACTTCCAAAGTATTAATGAACGTTACCCTAACACTCCAATACCGAATTATTCGTCAGTTGTAGCCGTCAGGTCTTGGCTCTCACCCGGAAGAAAACAGAGGAAAATTCAGCAATCTAATTAATCATCGATTCGTTATTTTTGTTCACTTAAACTGGTGATAAAGTTCCGCAATAGTTTCTGTTTCTTCACTTCTAATGAAAGTTTCTATTGTCATAGTTATATAAGCCCAGCCCGTTCTCCCCTGGTTCCAATCTGTAACTTACCATTTTCATACAGCAATACCACAGATATCGGGCTACTCATTGGTATCCCTGCGACATCAGCAGGATCCCCTGGCGGCGTTATTCTGCTAAGGACATCCTCTATCAACACATCCACACCTCCGCTGTCATTCACGTTCGTCAACCGAACTGTTACCTTGGCAACAGTGGAAAGCCGCTGAGCCGGTGGAGCGTTGTCGCTTACTCGTATCACAAGAGAGTATCTCACAACAGTTTCATAGTCGAGCTCGTTTTTAACAGTTATGATACCGGTGCTGGGGTTGATATCGAACTTATTGTCTTCGTTGCCACTAATTATCGAATAAGTGAGTATTCCATCCAGGCCAAAGTCTTTATCAGTCGCATTGATATCTGCAACTCTCGCGCCAATGGCAGTGTCTTCTGGGATTTTCACGTAAATACTTTCGGAATGTTGTAGCTTTGGCGGGAACTCGTTCACACACTTTATTTCTATGGTAACCAGCACATCGTTGCTAAGTGATACTTGACCTCTATCCGATGCTTCAACTGTCAGAGTGTACAGTAAATCATCCACGTGTTTTTGTGATTCCAGATCGAGGCTGTTTTTAACTCGTATTGTCCCAGTGTCAGTGTCGATGTCAAAGAACTCATGATTGTTGCCAGACTTGATTTTGTATTGAACTTGGCCATTTACTCCTGTAACATAACATAGTAGAGATATTAAGGACTAAAACGAGCTATTCTGTGCATTTTAAGTGACACAGTACACATCATAAACCCAAACCTTGCCTTGTGCTTTGTTTACTTCATAAACAAGTCATAAATTCTCAAATTTTCTGTTCAGTTTTCAAACCATTCATTGCCTCCATTAGCAAAGTATTGGAGTAGATTGCGGCAGCTATTTAGTCCTTACAGTTTTTAAGTCTGTTCATTTCTCCCATGGGCTGATACAACCTCTCTCGTCATCATAGTCACCAAGTGGTTGCGTGACCATGTCATGAAAGCTCGTCTTCGAAAGTGTTCGCTGACTTAAAATTTGTCCAACGTTTTGAAAAAAATTGAAAAAAAAAACGCATCCCCAAACCTGCGTCAGCATCAGTTGCCTGCACCGTGATGACGTCACCACCGATGCTCGCAGTCTCCATGACAGCGGCGTAATAAGAACCTTTGTTGAAGACTGGTTTGTTATCATTAACATCCGTCAGTGTCACATTCACAAAGATAATAGATGACCTCTGATTGGCTGCTTGAGAGGGCCTATCAAAAGCCTTTACTTTCAGGCTGTATGTCGATTTCGTCTCTCTATCCAGTGGCGCGTGAATGAATATTTTTCCGGAAGTTGGTTCAATACGGAAACGTCTGTCTTCGTTTCCAGAAACTATCTGGTATCTGATGTAGAAATGTAAAATGAAAAAGGATTAATTTATCATTTAGCTTCTGCCTTTTCCACCAGAAAAAGAAAAAGAAAAAGAAACAAACAAACAAACAAAAAAACAGTTGTATGAAGATTTTGACCCTAAGAGAAGAAGAGAAAAAAATTACCATCAGGATTTCTAAGTAGCCTATCAAAAGAGTTTCTGTCATCGTTATGTGCGGTTTAAACTCTTCATTAATAGCAGGCTAGACGATAAAATTCCATAGCCAAGAATAGCAAGTCAAGAGGTAACCTCAACTTAAAACTGTTGTTCACACTTATTTGAACTCGAAAAAATGCTGAGTAATTGTAAATGAAAAAAACAAACAAACAAACAAAAAAATACACTCACGTGACCAATCCATCAGGACCAAAGTCCATATCTGTGGCAGTCAAGTGACGCAACATGGCCCCCACAGCATTATCTTCCGGAATCTGTAAGGAAGACCCGGGACGTGTGAATTGTGGCGAGAATTCATTCACGCTGCTGATCATCAACACATATGTTGCATTGCTAGTCAACTGAGGACTCCCATGATCCCTTGCTACTACTACAAGCGTGAAGTTTGGGTAAGGGGCTTGAGCGGACTCTAAATCGAGGCTCCTTAGTGTTGTTAGTTCACCAGTGTTGGAGTTCAGACTGAAATACCCGTCCGAGTTTCCCGAGACGATGACGTAAGTCACACGGCCGTTTTCACCCGAGTCTTGATCAGTGGCCTGGATCTTCGCAGCGGCTTTCCCTGTCATGGAAGAATTAAAATACAATCGTTACTACTCAGAAACGAGGATAAGACAAACATATAATGGAACATTTCTTACGTTGTTAAAAATATTTTTGGTGGTTCATCGAAGAAGTAACAAATTGTTATTTTGCCATCTTACTCGACAACGTTTTTGAAGACCAGTGGGTATCATGTCTCCACGAATTCAGACCGACAAACCACAGCATGTTTGAGTGAGCCAACTAATCGGGCTGACAAATCGTAACATGTAAATTATCTTAAATTACAAATTAAATGATCTATCTGACAACAACCTGACAAAAGAACTGTCGGTGAGCTTGTGAGCGCTCTGACTGAGGTTTGTCTCAAATCTTTTCTTCTATTCTTCTTCTTTCTAAGTCATTTTCGCAGTGTCCACACGCAAATTTTCCAAACGCATATTTGAACACCGAACATCATCTAAATACGACAATACTAGTAGTGCCTATTTAGAGTACTAGAATTATTGTCAAGCGTCAACAAGCAAGCCAAAAAATTTCCTTACCTACTGACAGAGTCTCAGGCACCAGTACAGTGACTACACTACCAGCAAACTCAGGAGCATTGTCGTTCACATCATCAACGTGCACGTGCAGGTAGAAATCAGTGTAGCGCGCATGACCGCCAGGATCACTGTCCGACGCACGGATTATCAATGTACGGAGAGGTGCGGCCTCATAATCCAGTGATGACATCAACATGACGACACCAGAAGACGAGTTCACCTGGAATTTGCTGTCATTGTTACCGTCGTAAATGGAATACTGAACTTTTCCTGAGGACAGATTACAGAAAAAAGGAATAGTTGAAATTGACTGCGCCTTAACTGTAACTGAGTTGAACATAACTTACCATCCTTATCACAGACTCAAAAAGGTTGTACACTCTTTACCGAGGTAGGTGTAATCAAAGAGTGGAACATCAAAATATTGACCCCAAGCGAAGCATAAGCGATCGCTGCTCTAAAGTCTGTGTTGTTAGTAAAACTCTTAAGGATCAAAAATACACAAAAAGGTGTAAGTGGAACTGGACTACAACCTTTTGTATTTACTGAATCATGTTTTTGATCGTTTGTAAAGCTCGTTTTTAAAAATCATATTCGAAGGGTCTTAGAAAAAATATTCTATTTCAGTATGGTTTGTGGGCGAGAAGTTTTCCGTTTAGTAATTGCTAATTAAAAATCTCTCTTTAACCTTGATATCTATCTCCCAGTTTACATACCTTGCTCTCCAAAATCTTTATCTGCAGCATTGACGTCAAACAACACCAGACCATTTCCAGGATGCTGATTTTCCTTCACGATAACCGAGACCGATTGATTGTGAGTAAACTGGGGCGAGAATTCATTGACGGGCGAGATGCTTATTGTAACGACAGTGAAGTTACTCAGCGCGGGTAAGCCTTGGTCGGTCACGTTAATACCTGAAATTGACCAATTGGCATTGGTATATTAGATAAGCTAGGGTTGACCCGGTAAACAAGTTAACCTTTAATATATCAAAACATAACTGGCTATGTGCACGGCATAGAATCATACGAGACAATTCTTATAATTCAAGGTTTGTAATAAATGCGGCAAAGGATAACAACTTCAAGAGTCCTTTTTGCTCAACATTTTCACATGATAATTTCTGGATACTTGAGGCTCGCTTTTCTTCAAGGAGTTCCTCGACATAAAGAGCCAAGCACAGAAAGATCCAATGTTTCATTTTAGGCAAGATTATACGATTATTTTAGCATTTCTACAATTCTAACAACAACGGATATCAAAATTAGAAGATTCATTGTACTTCCCTTCCAAAAGAGTTAAATTTGAAATTAAACTTTTAATGCAAATAATCTTTGAGCACTTGGCCCATTAAATGCATTGTTTTGCTGATAATGACAAACGTTGCTCATCTGTGACGCGCATTTAACAAAAAGAAACTGTAATGCCATTTTTTGACTCGTAAATACGTCAATTTGCTCTGATATATTTTTAAAATCTAACTTTACCTAAGCTGTAGTTTAGAAGAGGTGGGGCTGATCCTTCCAGGTCAAGCGATCTGTTCACAAAAATGTCCCCTGTAGCAGGGTTGATGTCAAAATAACCATCACTGTTCCCGGATATGATTGAAAATCGCAACACAGCGTTTTCTCCCGCGTCACGGTCCAGTGCGTCCACCCGAAGAATGACGTCATTGATGTCAGCGGTTTCCTTTACGAAAGAAGTGAGGCCATCGTTGGTAAACTCTGGAGCATTGTCATTAAGGTCGAGAATATACACCATAACGTGCTCCTCGGTGAAACGAACTTTTTCTTCAACAGCTCCATCGAAAGCTTTTACAATGAAGCTGTATACAGCGGTTGTTTCACGGTCTACTTTGCCGGCGGTGGTGATGGCACCGGAGGTTCTGTTGATGTTGAAGCTGCTGCCGATGTTTCCCCCGTTCAGTGCATAGAAGACGTCACCCTGGCTTCCTGTGTCATTGTCCGTGGCATGGATGTTGATGACCTGATAACTGATCGCTACACCTTCGTTGATAGTAGCACTGTAATTGCGACTGGTGAAGACTGGAGAGTAGTCATTGACGTAATGGACCTAAACAAAAAAAGAGAAAAATAGGATACGCTTGTTACAATAAACAAACTACGCTAACTTTAAAACTATATAGACGTTTTCTAAGTAGCACATTTGAAGTCCTATTTACTTAGATTACAAATACAACAGTGACAACAACAGCAGAAGTAGCACCACCAAAGTAGATGAATAAGCCTGTACAAAAGAAAGTGTTTGCGTTGTTTCTAATTAGACAACTGAATAAACGAGGACGAATCGGCCTTTGGGAGATAAATAATCAACATAATGCCTTGAAGTTTCATTATCAGAACTGAGTCTTTTATCAACATTCTAACCAATAAAGTATACAAGAATTTGAGGTGAGCATGGTCAAGAAATAAACGTCGACTGTAATCACATGATGTCAACTATTAATCCTCCTGTAGCCTAGGAAAAAGATGGCGACTGGTACATATACTCTGTTTACTCCATTAATGCACAAAAGCCTCAACGACGCTCAAACGTTCAAACAACTACAAACCTAGCATACGCAAGGAAAAGTATTGCAGAAATATCTCGCGTAGTAGGCTGTGTTAGGTTCGCAAGGTATTGTTGTAAAATGTACTTGCTGCAGAAGACTGAACGGTGCTTGGACTGAGCCAAAGTCACTTACCTCAAAAGGAGCTGACAGTACACTGTGGCCGTACCTTGACTCAAACTTCAACACATAACCAACCCCATACAATGTCACAAGAAGGTCTGTAAACACAGCTCGCTCGTTGACTACTGAAACATTGAATGTTCCATTTAGGAATGACTGTCCCAGCTTCGGATTAGAGTAAAGTGACACGGCCACCCACCAAGGAGACTTCAGGGGCGTGGCTTTTCTTCCTGTCCCCAAGTCGCGTACCTCCACAACAGGTTGCGTGCCAAATACCACTGACTGATTCGCATTCGCCACTTGCGTGACAACCTTCAGATAGAACTGCCGTGGTGTTACATCGAAAGTTTTTGATATGGCAAAGAGTCCCGAGTAAGCTTGAGAGTACGGAGTGACAGTCACGTTAAATTTCATTCGATAGCCTGACGCAACGTCATAAAAACTCAGGTTTGAAATCTCCGCGCGTCCAGAGCTTGGGATCTGGAATTGAGTTTCGCCGATTAGTACCTCGTTTCCAGCTCCCTGTTCCATGGATGCTCGAATCGTCCAGGTTCTATTGCGCCAGCCTAAATTCCCGACCAGAGTGTTCGTAGCTGTGTCTCGGATTTCGAGGATAGGTTGAGAACCACATAGAACGGTGTCATTACAGTCACCTGGAGGATTTTTAAAAACACAAGTTTTTAACGTAAGAGGACACAAAGGCTCTATGTACCTATACAGTTAACCAATGGGAGGAAGAAGTTACAATTGTACACAATGAAGACTTGCCTTGAAGTGCGAAACATAATCGACAAGACAAGCGACGGAGTCTGACACGAGAAGTATCGCCTGACTGCCAAAGGCGGAAAACGGACACATTTAATGTTGATCACAGCTAAGAATAACAGTGACTTAACAGTTAAAGCGAATCTCCGAATTATTAGATAAAACTAAGTTATGATAACTGCCTCTCTTTATTAAACATCAGAAGAATATATGTGAACAACCGGTATAAGCTGAGCAATGGGTGTAATCATCCTTAGAAGCACAGCATTTTTGAAATAATAGAAATAAACCTTGCTCAACGTCCAAACGGAGGCAGAATCAACCGGCCGCTGAAGAGATCAGGCGGTAGAGTGATATTTCATTAAGGTTAAAGTGAAAAAGAAATCCTAGCTGCTTTTAAGTGGTGACCTTTAGTGGAGGTGCAACTGTACTTGAAATAACAAGAGAAGAGAGCGTTTTAGCACAGGCCTTACCTGGTTGTTGAGTTATAACCAGTTCCAGGACCCTCTCTTTCACATCAAATGGAGTAGCATTGATAGAGAACTGGTATCGAGATGGTGCAACAGTGAAAGCTTCAAAGTTAAGGATATAGTTCTTATCTTCATGATCAATAGAGAGATCACTGAAGGACGCAATACCGGCGGAAAACTCTACACTGGCTAATCCGTGCAGCTTTCCTGTTAATGGACAACAAAACGAAACAAGACGAAAATCGAATTTATCCCTTTCTGTGGATAAACGGCTACTTTTACAAAAGAATAAATTCCATAAATTAAATGAAAAAAAAAAACTTTTTCACGTCGTTGACTCTTATAAATGGTGGTTATTCTATTACCAACTCGCTACAAAAGATTGGTGTTATCAGACAGAGTACCTCAGACTATGCAGTGGATTCTATTAAGGTCAAACATTCTCACCAGTGAGTTTACCTGCATGTGATTTCTGTCTTAAAATGTGTTCATAAAGTTTACCTTTATGGTTCTGAGGATTCACTAAAGACGCCTTGCAAATCCACTTCCTGCCCTTCCATCCAGTATTCGTCACCACTTCTCCGTTAGCAGCGTCGCGGACTTCTACCAAAGGCTGCTGACCAAAAGGAACAGTTTCGTTGGCATTACGTGGGTGACTAACAAGTGTGAAGTACAAGACTCGCTCCTTGACCTCAAACGGCTCTGACAGAGCTGTAAAGTTTGCTTTAAAGGGGAAGGTTATGTTGTATTCTAAGACGTAATCGGTGCCATTGTGGCTGATGTTCAGGTTGGTAAAGTTTGCCCAGCCATCAGAGAAAGGTACAGTTATATTTCCGCCTAACAAGGCATCAGGATCTCCACTTCCATTCTTGATGAACGCTGTCACATACCTGTCAAATGTTCAGAATAAAATCAAACTCAGCTCGATGTATTCATTAGTTTGCAATGCAAAAGAGATACGTTTTCATTGGAAATAAGAATGGGAAAGTCTGTAAATGAAAAAGATGAGCAATGAGGACAAAACACTTAGACCTACGTACCACTGTCCCTGGTACCCATGTCCCAGCATGCGTACAGTGCGGTTAAGCTTGTCGACCATCATAAGCTTTGGTTGAACTTGGAAGGGAACAGTTTCATTGGCTCCTTGAGGCTCTTGCATCACAATCAGTCGAACAGGAATCAGGTAATCATGAACTGGATTGGTCTTGTTGCCTTCTTTCATGGACACCACCTGATCAAACCGCCATGTACCATTCTTTGGTCCCGCTAAAAAAACAGTTAGCGAGTCAATAACTCCATAACATCATTGCTTTCTTGAGAAAACAATTGAAGAAGCCTTGTAAAATTTTGTTGAATTTCTAAAAGGAATGGGATATAGTCACTCATTCTTATTTGCACAGCTTAAAAACTTGGGAAAGTTTTGGAGAATTCGAAAATGATTTTGAAATCCTAATGTTCAAAATTTCCCAAACTTTCACGGCTGTTTGAATCAGAATATGTAAACACGCGCGCTCTCTTTCTTTATTTCTATGTCTTTACCCTCTGCGGGCGTGGCTCGTGTCCATCCTTTCGGGAGTTTTCGAGGAGGTTCGGGATCCGTGACTTCAATCGATACCATGTCGAGTTTGAGTGAGGAAGCCATGCGACCTGTCTGGGCTACCTCGACAGCTTTCGACGCTAACGACTGGAGAGCAACGTAGTGATCTGTGGGGTTCTGGGTTGGTAAGGCTGTGGTTGTTATGGTAACTGGAGGAGCGGTGGTGAAACTATGAAAGAAATAAAATTCGTAAATAACAGGTATTTGAAATGACTACAAAATGCCATTCCTGATTCCCAAAAATCAACTGAGAGAGAAGTCTGAAGAAAAACCAAAACCATCAAATCCCTTTGATTTTGACGTCAACTCCCTTAAAAGTAATGTGAGCGACATCACATAAATACTTGGAAAATATTTTGCTTACGAACTTTGAAATGAAAACGTTCGTACATAAGGTGGGGTATCTCACTAACCTTGAATTTTCAGGGACAAACTTGTCCTCTGGCGTGTAAGCAATGCTAGGCAGCGGCGGATCACCGATCTCGATAGTGACGGTCATCGTCTTATCGTCGGGTTCTCTTCGACGTCTTCGTGAGCTCCCGGCAGCATTTACGATCTCGACCACCCGAATGCGGGACTCGTCGATATTAAGAAGAGAGGCCAGATTTTGGATTAAATTCTTTTCAAAAAAGTCGTTGAAATGAACAGGTTTGCTTCCTAAGAGAAAAAATTCAGTCTTTGCATTAAACAATTTGAGAGCCATATCAAGGAATATTAAGAGAATACAGAGGTTTTTGATAGTTCCAGCTTTCATTCTATTCTTACCAAGTTTGACTTGTACAACAGGAGCAGTTCTTATGTCCACAGCGACATTTCCTTTAACCACTACATAAAACAGTTGGCTTTCTCGATCGTAGTAGTTAGCTCCGCTGTTGCTTGTAAGCGGAGGCTCAAACTGGTCATCCGGGAGATTGGGGTCTTTCTTTTTGTAGCTGAAGTTCTGTTCATCGAGTTTAGCATTAGTCGGGTACATGTAGACACCTGCGCGGTATACGTCCAACCGTTGGGGTGTGGTGTACCAAATGGCAACGCGCAGGGCTTGAGAGCTGTCTGCGTTTAGCAAAGTCAGTCGGAGACTTTGAGGATTGGTGCCTGAAGAGGGAAAATCAGCCAAACAATGAGCAGCTATACAAAAATGTTATCGAAAAGATGTAGACGAAACAATGTGCAAAGGTAGTCCTGTCCGATAGCCCGGACTAGTGGATTGTCTAGTCGGCTAATGGATTCTGCTCGTCACCCGATGGACAAGTAATATTTGTTGGGAAAATGTTGACGAAATTCACATTACACTACGTAGTGAAAATGATTTTCGGGCCAGTACATCATAGCTAAAGCTTACCCCAAGGGTAAGCCTGAACATTTGTTCTTGCACACTGTTAAAGTGTACAGGTTTAAACTAAACAGGAGCAAACTAAACCACTGCTTCCGTTTTAAAGCAAAAATTGATCCTTGAGTCTGCCTTTTTATTGGAATGAAAGTAAACTTTACTCAAGAGATTCCGGTGGAGATTCAATGATTGTAAATATGTTCACCTGTGAAATAGACAGTATAGTTGTTTTGGGTTGCCACAATAGAGAAGAATGTGGATATTCGCTCCATGCACGCGTATCCAAAGCAACAGCCATGATCCATTGGTCCATTCAGCAGATCGGTATAGCCATTGGATGACAAAGCAACTGGAGAGAGTCTGCGAAGTTCTGTGTCAGCGTCCAAACTCTCGATGACAAACATGTGATAGTCTATAGGGAAAGAAGAGATGGTGTCAACAAGAATTGTTTTCTTACTTGTATGAACTTTTTCTGCGCACTAATTACTGTTCTTTTCACCTTCATGTACTGTGAAGTTCGAATATATTTACCTCAAACACAAAAAATAACTGTGAGTGTGAGGTCGAACTTCAGCGTTAGTGGATACCATATATTTTAATTTTAGTCAAAGGAAAATAATCTTAAGAGAATTTAAGTACTTTTCAACAAAAATTGGTTACAAGGTGAGTGATACTTGTTCCAAGGCTACTTCACCATAATACTTGCTGCATTCATTTCTTACCCAAACTGGTACAATTGTACGCATTCCATGCAGAATTCCACGAGCAAAAGCTCTGCGCACGCGTTCCTCGCACAATCCCGTGATGCGGTGCAACGACAGAGGCGTTCAGACGTGAACTATCTAATGACGTCAGAAAACCTCTAGGTATACGGTAATCGCCTGAAAAATGGAAATATTAACCTTGTTAGATAATTAATAAATTCCTTTTTCATTTGTTAGTTTAAGAGGAGCATTTCGGTTGAAGTAGTCGAAGTTAATTAAATACAATGCACGTGTTTACCATAGTTAATAGGGGGGAATGGTTATGAAGCCCGGCAAACATAAGAGGAGCAAACAAAATGCCAAGGTTTATGTTGGAAGGTCCACGACCGTGCACAATCTTTTGTTTTTCGTTCATACACTATGCATGAGTTACGTAATCAAAACATTTCTATTGGTTAGTTCCTCGGTCAGTGGTAAACAACTATTGTGTTTGTGCACGGTCAAGGCCAAAATAGAGAGAACAAAAACATACGACAAAGAACTTTGTCGAGTTTCATAACCATTCCACCCTATTGAGTATGTGTTCACAAAAAAATACAGATACAGGATAAAACAGCACAAGACAGTGCCAGCTACAACTCCTGATCACATGTTGAAAGATCGCTTTACTAATACTAGCTGGAGTTGTGTGAATTGCTGAGTTTGCACTGTTTCCCTGTCACGGCAGATAAGACAATTTCTGTAGTAATCTCATACCTAGGCCTCTCCTTGGATCTCCATTCCACTCGTACTCAGCCTTGGAAATGACACTTCCGCCGGAAGCACCAGTGAGAGTTCCATCCAGATCCTTGATGAGCACGTGTTTGGCGCCATCACAGTCCATATCGATACAGTCAGAAGGGTTTATCCACCCGATATTTGATGGTGTTATATAAAATAACTTGTCGTTATCGACATTATACAAAGAGATGGCTTTTGTCTCGACTGGATGGAAGGCATCTGGAGACATAGGATTAGTTGTTAATGCCACACTGTCGTGACCACACTTTGTGCCAAAATGCGCGAATCCAACGTTGTTAAGTTCAACAACGCCTCGTATTGCTGGATAACTCTCTACACTGTGCCAGGGTGACTTTGGTGCCAGGCTAGTTGATGACGAAAACGTTGTCAGCATAAAACCAATATGGCCGCCTCCTTTTGAGCGCGGCGCGCGGAGTGGCTTCGTGATGGCGGAGTTTCGAGGCACAACCGAGTCACTGACGCAGTCAAAACTGGGACTGGTACCGACAATTAGGACTCGGTCAAGGCGAACAAACTTGTCAGCGGTTTTGTGAGAGAGAGCGGGAGGACTCCAGACGTTAACGTGAATTCCTGGATATAACAACAGTATTACTAAAATTATGTTTGAATACAATTAAGCGTATAATCAATTTTAAAGTGGAAGCGTAAGGCCTTCGCTAACTCTACTCTAAAGATGCTCATTTACTGTCAGATTCGATTGCTGACAACCGAAATACTTCGCTATTGAGAAAGGCTACCGTTTATCATACTTTTAATATGGGTGGATTACTCATTCAATACAGTATAGCCCTCGTTTTCAAATTAACCATTCTGAACGAAAAAAAAAACCTTTTTTATGTCCTTCGTAACCAATATTCATAAGAATAAAACGTTTCCTCTGGCAGCTAATTAGATCAAACCCAGAACATTTTGTTTTTGTTAATTAACTCTCTAAAATCCGATATAGTTCAATCCCAATAGTTAGAAATGTCATCTTCTTATCTTTTGTCGATAAATGATAGAAGGAGGAAGTAATGAGCAAAAATAGAGGTCATGTTTTCGAAAACGTTAAAACTGGCGCAACTTCTTAACTCTCCTCACCTAAGTTATTATCAGCAACAACTGTATCCTGAATAATAACTCGAGAGGCTGGATAACCAAACACGCCAAAATCCCAGCTTTTCCAAAGAACAAAATGAGCGATCTTGAGACAGTCAGGCAGTCCGTCGTTAAAGCCAATGTGGATCCCGTGTAGGGTGGTGTGAGCAAAGTTAGCTTCCCATCGTTCCTCAGACTTATCTCCATAGCAACTTTCACCCCGGATGTGGAACCCAACCCTTTCGCTTCCAGCTGCCGCATTTTCTCGAAGAACAATATTGGATGCCTTGCTGATGTCAAAGGAAGCATGCCAGAGTTTGTTATTCACCTCGTATCTCCCTTTGTAGGTCGCTATTGTATAAAATAGCACATCAGTTACTTTACTACATATGATATACGTTTGATATTTGACGTTCAGCACGGTGTTGAAGAGACAAGCATACTCCGACCTAAAACTAGAATAATCGATAGTTTGAGAATTTAGATCTATAGAAGCTCAAGAATTTAGGTTCCGTGGATTTATTGCTATACAAGTTATGTTAGGAAGCCATTAGGACTAATAAAAATAGATAACAGCCCTCCTTTGGAATCAAACTCTTGTGAACATAAAGTTCTTGCGTTCTTCTCCTGCTCTTCATAACAGGTACATTACTCGTTCCGATCGATTTTAGAGACCTTTTCTGATTAAGAAAAAAAAAAAACTTTCGAAACATCTGACCATGAAGTAAATGGAGAGGGGTTGTTACGCGATTCATAATCCGCTCGCAATCTTCAACGTTATCGTGAACAGTCTTAAACAGCTCAGAATTAGGATTCAAACAATACAGTCACATGATTGTAATACCTGGTGAAACGCTCAATACAGCCAAGTTATGGAGAACTTTGTTATTCCTGCCCCAGACTCTAACGGACGAGCCGACTGTGTGGTGAATGACGTTATCGACAACAGTTAACTCATTTGTCCCAAATACACCAATAGCAGTGTTGAATCCGTCATGGAATGAATTACCCCGGATGTAAGATGACTTCAGATTTCCGGCATCCAAGATTGCCAGTGAATATCTTTAAAAGAAAACAAGTCAAATTTTCGGTTATTCGTTGCACATAATTAAGGCGCGCCTTTCCAGTCAACACATCCATTACATTTCTATGCCATATTTTTTATTACCTTGGATCAAAGTAATCAGGCCACCCTTCCTGTCCACAATGGCGAAATTCAACATTCTCCACACGAACCCTTCGGTTAGTTGACTCCATGCCTTCAAATGAACCAATCAAGAGGCGACCTCCAAACGACTGTTTATCAAGCACTTGATCGGCATCATCAGCGCCCTCAATCACGATGTTCCTGGTCAGCAGTCCCACCTCAGCGGCTAATGTGTAGTTCCAGTTCCCTGTGGTGTATGACTCGGCAATGTGTCTGTATTTCAGGGTATCATTCAGTTCAAGGGTTTTGCGATCATGGTAGACGTTAACTGAAAAGGAAAACGAGATTACACGGCGAAATGCAATTTTTACTCAAAAACACTTTCCTATTTATTGGATTGTTACACTGTCCATCTCTACCCTCTTCAATTCGAAGTCGACTTGGTAGAAAACAAACATGGGTTGACATTGAAATTCCGCGTTTGACAAGCGAAATTCACACGTCTTTTCATGAGGGAACTAGAGAAGCCGCAAACTAAAGGGGGAGAAATGATCATATACGACAGCCACTATCTAGAACCAAAACCAAGCAACACTTTGGCTCATACTATATTTTCCATTCACCAAAATAAGTTGCCAGCGTACCTATCTTGTAGATTTCAGTGTCGTAGGGTTCAAACGAAGTCGGTGCAATGACAATTTCCTCCCCTGATTTCCAGTCCACCGCCTCTTGCAAATAGATGACGTTGCTTCCTGGGTCAGCGGTTTTGCTAAGTCGGGTCCAGTACACTGATCTATTTAGGCCGTGGATCTCCAAGTTCCCGAACACACCTTGGAAAGAGAAGGTTATTTTGAATTAGTTGCTTTTGAGGAATCGTCAATTGTTAATAGTCGAACATCCATTTAATGCGCTGGAATTTAAGTGTTTAAGCCGTTTGGAAAGAGTTAAAGAATTTGACTAAAAGTTGATCTAGAACTCTATAAGGTCATTTCATTTGCTACAAGAATCAACATGCAACTCTAATACTTACCTATAGCTTTAGAACCAATATTAGGACCACCTTGGACCGGAATGTCTGGGTTGTCCATATTTCCGTTAAGACTAATTAATACATTGCCAGTCATTGGTTGATCTTCCCAGCCAATGATGAGGTTACCTCCTTGACCAATCACGATGTCCGTTACGTTGAGGACAAAGTCCATGTAAGGTTCTAGTTCTAGTGTGCCGTATATGAAGAGTTTTCTCATGTAAGGGAGTTCAGTATCCGCTACCATCCACCAGTCTAAACAAACAAACATTAATAATTAATTTATTTATACGTGTAATTAATTAACCACTCAAGTTAACTAAGAACAAATGAAGGAATTAAACAATGCATAGTAATTTACATAAAGTTTATTTTTAAACGCTTTTTGCCTGTCTCACGAACGCTGTTAAAGTAAATCGTTTCTAAATTATGAAACTGTCTTAGCAGTAAACCAAACTCAAAAGCAATTGCTCAAATAAGAAAACGAACAGGACGTTATTGCAACATGTCGAATCATCGCACGTACAAATTAAAGCGACAGCATTCCATTAACGACACCTTAATAAATAGGTACGAATTCACGTAAAACCACCATTAATTCTAGCCCTACGCAGCTTTTAACTTTCTTTATGGAATGGCACAAAGTTTTTATTATACTATAGTCCTTAGGTTTCGCAAATTTCAATATTTTCAAGTTTTCAAAATTTTAGCAAACCTCTCGCTGGTTTTAACCATATTGCAAAAAAGAAAAAAGAAAAAAAAAACACTTCCAAAAAACTATAAGTAAAAAGCTCTAGTTTTCTGTGTGACGTACGCTGTTGGATGATGACGTCATCTCCGTCTTGAGGCAGCTGTTTGTTGTGGCCTCCATATCCAGGCTCTGTTCCGTACCAGGCGTCCGGGTCTGACCACACAGCAAATACTAAGGGACGTTTCTCAGGGGGTGGGGGTGGAATTGGTTTGATACAGTTCTTGAAATAGCAACGTACAACCTAGAGATGTTAAGTGTCTTAGTTAAGTCAACAGTGGATCATACCAAGGACATTTATGCTGACCTTTCGACAAAAAAAAATATCATCAAAGTGCTTTATATAAAATAGGAAAGGAACAATAAATACATTACAATATTTAGAGAGGAAGCCACGTTAGCCTTGGCTGGTTTTCATGCAGGTCCTCTATCCTGGTCGAATTGGAAATTTGGAGTGTTGGTTTTTTTGGAGGGAAGAAAACCCGAGAGCACGGAGAAATACCCTCAGAGCAAGGCAACAACCAACAACAAACTCAACACACGTATGGCACGGAACCGGATTTAAACCCGAGCCACACTGGGGGAGGCGAGCCCTCTCATTACGTCGCTATCCCTGCCCAATGACTGATGATGAAGCGATATACTCACGTGCATGTTAATATTTCGGTCAACAAGTCCCGCTGCTCCCTTTCCTGATACGATGTAAGTCAGTGCTTTGGTGAAGTTGTTGTAGTACCAGTCGCCATTTGACGCATTGTCTGGAGACGGTATACCGCTGGACATGTTGACAAACTTGCCAGTTATAGATATCATATCTGGATCCTGTTTCATGGGGTGAGTCATCCAGATGAAGTCCTCGGCATTAAATTCATAGAGTGCCCCACTAAAACGAGAAACACGAGAAAAGAAATACAAGTATTAGCACTAACGGGGAGCATCAGCTGTGGCTAACCATAGAAGGAAACGAGGCTGATCTCTTATAGTCATACAACGGCAATTTTATGTGTACTGTTTAAATACAGGCACTGAGGTAGAATCCCAGGAACGGCTCTGGGCATGAAACATATGGCGCAGGAGTGTGGAGGCTGAGATAACGAAATGCAGCTATAGTTGGCACAACCTGGTTTAACTTGCGCAGGATAGAGTAAGATGGAGAGGGACTGTCAACGACCTTTGCTATACTATGGTGCAGACAGGTATAACAGAACTTAACAGAGTCACAACCAGGTTAAAGTAGGAATAAATGATACTACCTTGTCGAAAATCTTCCCATAATATGGGCCCTTTTGAGCAAAAAAGACGAACATCTCATTACGAGTTAAGGATAAACTACCATGGGAACGACTTGCACAACTGTGCCGGGTTGCTCAAAGCCCGATTAAGCAAACCCAGGATAAGGGAGAATTTTGTTTTGCGATGAGGATTTCTGTTTGTATTGTTTGGCCTTCTGTTTTGAGTTCGAATAATCTCAAAATACACAAAACATAAACAATGAAAAACATTTGTATACAAGAAAAAAATATCCTTCAGTTAACTTTTAATCCTGGGTAAGCGTTAACCGGCTTCTGAACAACCCGACCCTGAACAATGTACTTTACAGCCCAACGATTCCACTACATTACCCCACTGCTTGATCACAGACCCAGTATTATAGAGTCGCTTTTTACGTTACAGTTTCTATGAGGCGACGCATTAATGAACAAGGCACATCTGCTATCGAGAAGTTTTATTTTCTTACGCAACTATACCTGTATGAAATGTTGGTGAGCTGAGGAGCGTTGTCAAAACTAAAATTATAGTTTTGTCCCAGAATTACGGTCGCCATCCAGCCTTGATTGTGAGTAAGCCTCATAAATTCCCAGGGAACTCGGCTTGTTCCATGTTCATTTGTTAACAGAGCGTCACGATAAAGCAGGGAACTTGGGAGCGCTTTGTTCCAGGACATCCGGCGGAAACGCACCGTCGAGTCACACACACTTCCGGAAACGTGGATTACACTTGCGTTGGGAGATTGAGAACAGTGATTTGGAGGAAGATTGGGGTTTGAAGGGACAACACTCCCTCCTCCTGACAAACCTGAAGTGTGATAGCAAAGCTTCGTTAACACCAGGCCTTGCGGCGAAATTTTCTATTGCTTTTAAATCTAAGATAAATTGCTGCTGTTTAGAAAAAAAACTAATGAAAATTGTGAATGAAAAGTATAACTTGTCTAGTCTCTCTAAGGCACTGGAGAGTTGCTACATAACAGTTGTAAATGCAGATGTATGATCATAATAGTCACGCATTTAACTTTGAGCTTCATGTAACTGGTCGTCAGGCATCCATTCAACTGAACACACGAAACAACTATTACAAATTATAGCATGATTGAAAATACCAACTGACAGAAGGCGCGTGCTAAACCATTAAGCCAACCGCTTCGCTCGGTCCGTAATGTCACGACCTTGGGCCAATATTCCACAGTACGGCCCTCGCGCTCGGTTAGTAAGAGGTTATTATTTTGTCGACTTAATCAAAGCTTAAGCTTTCTTTAATAATCAACATCGCACGCTAACCTGTTAAAGTTCCATCAAGATCTTCAAAGACGCTCTCGTGTTCCCATTTGAAGGCTGCCTTGTTTGGCGAGTTTATCAGCTGTGTTTTTTCGAATCTCGTAGTGAAACCTCCCTCTCTCGCATGGCAGAATGAGCATCCACGAAGTGCAGCGCATGACGGCGCGTCAAAGTTCACGAACGTTGTCCCAGAGACGGTGAGGCGCGAAGATTGCGGTGCTACAAGTCCTCCTTGAGTGCACGTTGAGGGACCTCCGCTCACATCGCTATGTCCTACCACGAGAGAATCCTTCACTAAAGGTCCATTTTCTCCCCAAGGAGCGACTAGGTTGGTAAACTCAAGACCAGCTTCTTTGTTGTCTAGCACAGTGAAGTTAATTGTCTGAATAGCTCCACCGCTTGTGAGCTCGAAGCCTTTAAGGTTGTTGTAGGCAAGCAGTGTGTAGAACTTGGCGGGTGCGGATGTTTTCGAAACACAACTTCCTCCTTGCATCGGGAAGTACTCTTTAAAGATCCACACGCCATACCTAACAGATTGAAGTTACAGTTTAATAAAATCAGTTTACCAGGTAAGCGTTAAAAATGAATGTTACATATGAGTGATATGACATCAAAGAATATTTTACCTTCCGAACGAATGAGCCGTGTTGTTCTGAAATTCTCCTAATGGTGCATTGCTTGGGCAGACAGAGGTGGTGAACGAGGGACCCCCCGGGTGGGTAGGCAAATTGTACCAATATCCATGATGACTGCCGCCGGCTGCCGCATTGTGACGGACTGGAAACAAGTAAAACATGAATTTACCGGAGAATCACATGGAAGCGAACGATCGCAAGCATAGAAATATATTGCACTGATGACAACAGTATCAGTATATGAACCGTACTTACTCGTGTTGTTCGGGTTTGTCACCCAGAATGTCGCTGGCGTGACATCAGTTATCAGAAGTGTACTGGATGTCCGCACAGCAACACCCAAGTTGTACTGTATGGTGTTACCAGTTTCTATTCCATCCTCGATGAAGAATGCGTGACCCATGACATCGTTCGCAACGTTGTGTTCGACAAGTAACCCCGATACGCCATGTACTGTCACGGCACGGTTGAAGGTGTGATGGATTGCGCAGCCGCGGACGTAAGATCCGGTCACGTTACCACTCAGGTGAAAATGAATTGGGTAGCGACCTGGAACGTGAAGTTAATTCAGATCATTTAAATACTTTGCCACGGCTATTTTCACGCTTGATTTGATTATAGGCAAAGTAAACAGCGATCATACAAATGTAAAAGTAGCAACTTCACACTGAGTTATTGCCATTTACAAACGAAACACGAGATAATGTGTCTTAAGACTCCCAATGGCCAGTGTGCAATTTAACGAGGTTTGCAGTCAAACTTTAATGAAATGAGAGTTGAGAGAGAAGTATTAAAAACCAAAAAAGCAAAAGGTCCGCTGGTTCCACAACCTCTGGAACCATGGAAGGGATTAGAAACGATGACAATGACCTAATCAACCACAGGAATCGGGGAACATCAAATTGAAGCAATCCCGGAAGCAGTGTCATTTGGAGACTATTACTTAACACTAGTTGATATAAACTTCCAGTTTTCTTTCGCTCTTCTTTGTCTTCAGAAACATTCCCCACCTCTTTCAAAAATTCTCAAATCGATCTTTCGGATTGCAAAATTTAGTTATAAGGGTGCGTTTGGTTTTGATGAAGAGATAAGGGAGAAAAAGTGCTTGTTAAAAAGTACATCCACTTAAACAATTCCCAAATATCCAGCGCTAAAGCTCAATGCAACTGAAAAAAATAAATTTAAGCGATTGCCCATTGCATTAGATCGGAGAAGTACAGTAAAATAGTGATTTACTCGTACCCAGTCCAAAGGCTTGTCCCGCTTTGCGCACCTCGATGTAAGAAAGTCTACCAATCACCAGTCCCTCACTCGGCATTTTTGGGTTGAGCATAATCTGGCTTCCAAACTGCTCGCTTGCCGTTGCCTTACCATAGCGTCCCTGGAAACAGGTTTGAACTGCAAAAATACCAGGGTCGAAACCATCCGGACATTCCGGGATGCTTTCGGTCCATTCGTCATTTTCCGAACCTTCAACAACAACATTTCGAGTCAAAAGCCCGACCTCCGCGCGTGTTTCTATAATCCTTCCAGCGATGGTTTGAACAAGAGAAATATGGCGGTATTTAACTGGTGGAGTGATGCCGATGGTTCGACCATCATTAGAGACACTCGTTATGTTAAATTCTTCGTTTTCCTTTTGACTTCGACTTGTTGAGGCGAGTACCACTTGATCACCAATCTCCCAAGTCACAGCATGTTTTAAAACGAGCTGGCTATCACCTACGTACAAAATAAATTAAATTCAGTATAAAAAATTAAATTAATCTGCGAGATTTAATCGCGTGTCACTTGTTATAATTCAAGATATCTGCTCCTGTAAAGACTAACAGTAGCTATATACAGCGCCCGCGTGGTTTCTTCTTTTTGCGCTGTTTGACATGGATGGAAACCATATAAATTTCAAAAGAATATCATATGATTCCTATTAACTACGTGGCTTCGAAAGTCTGATTAAAACTTTTAAACGAAAACAACGTTTAGCTGACGCAAACAAATTTCTATATCATGCGATCAATGTTCTTATGTTTGTTCTTGCTAAAGATTAACAACGGTACTATAAAGAATTTCCTTTATTCAGCGGCGTTTTAGTACTTTTTCTAATGAATAGCAATGATATCACTAACGTCACTTATTGTTACTGATATGCCGACCAGAGAACTGTTTTCGTATATGTATTATTTTTCCTACAAACCTGGCAAAGCGGTCGTAGCTAAGTTTGTCCACGTGATCGGCACAACTTTACCATGCAGGTCCAAAGTCCCTTGCCTGACCGCTAAAACTTTAGTTCCAAAAATGGGCAACCGCTTATTGTGCATGTGACCGTGCAGAACGATCTTAGCTTTGTGTTGAAATGGCCTTTCTTCGGTTCCGACCTGAAGTTTTCCGCCATCAGCAACGAGAATCTTTTCAGCATTTAGTGTGAGGTCCTTCTCATCGAAAATTAACTCCCCACTAATGACCAAAATAGAGAAAACCGGAGTATCCATATCAAGAAGAATTGTTTGTCCTTTGGGAATCTGAACGAAGTCTCCTTTCCCAGGCGGACTCTTGTAACCCCAGGTGAACGGCGACGACCACACATCGATGTACTGGAAGTCCGCGAGGTCCTGGGTCGCAATACCTCGGTTACCAACCTCCACCCGTACCTTGGTTTGTATCGTGCCTGTCCGCGGTCCTGTTGTACAGTGGATTTCGGTTTGAGAGAAGGAAGTTATCTTACAAGGGATTCCAGCGATTGTCACTTTGTTGTCGTCATCGTTTGAACTGAACCCTGATGAGAAGAGGACAAATTGTTGTGGAATTTAGGTAAGATCTTCATAAAAAGTTGCCAAGCCACTTGTCTTGAACTTAAACGAATTTATTTAAATGAAATCCGAAACTACGGCAGGAAAAAAAAAACGACCAAGATGTGCTGTCTGCTAACAGGACCACTTACAAAACTGGTTCTATGAAGGACTTTTCTGTATTAAGTCCACGGCCGCTGCCGTTTTCACTTACCATTTCCTTTTATGGTGAGTTGTACTCCACCTCCTGTTCCACCACGTGACGGACTTACTGACGTAATACGTGACGTAAGAGACTCTCGATACGTGAACAACCCCGACCTGGATGACGTCACTTCATTTCTTCCGACCACGCTCACTGAACAAGCAATATCAGGGTTTTCAGTCTGTCCGGTATAAGCAGGAACTTCGCAGTAGATCTCGTCTAATGAACTGTTAATGGTGGCACAAACAACATCACAGATCTTTACAGTGGTGGACGAATCAAACCCGTGTCCTTTAACGGATACAACTCTCCCTCCTCCAAGCCCACAGTCGTTCGGTGAGATACTGGCGAGAGCTATTTCGTAGGCAAATGTCACGGCTTCAGATGTAGGGTAAGCTGATAAGCCTTTGCCTTCCACGTGCAGAATGATGCTATATATCCCTGCTGGTCTATTATCTAGCACGCATGTCAAACTTGTTTCGCTGCTGGTCACAACACTACAGGAGCTGTTGGCAATTGTCACGTCCATGTCCGCTGTATCTGTACTGAACCCAGACCCGTAAATGGTAACGTTTTTTCCTCCTTTACCACGGGAAGGCGAAATTGACTTTACATATGGTGTCGTAAATGTTCGGTAAGCGTAACGGAGACGAGGAAAGTCTTTGCTGTTTGCTGTCACAATGACCTAAAAGACAATTTGCGCATTATTTGTGCAGCTGAATCATGGGGGGTTAAACTATTAAAATACTTGAATCAGAGCTCAAATGAAAGCTTGTTTGTGTGATTCCCTTGCTTCCTCGTTTCAACATAATATATTAGTCAATTCCCCCCACAACGAAAAAAAAACTGGCGCAAGTGAAGGAAAATTTGTAAAACACTGATATATCTGAAACAAAACACAAGTAACAAACGCTATGTTCCTCGCGCATAGCTTTTTTGTTAGGACACGTAGGTGACCATAGGGCATTAATTCAATTGTACTGAAGTGAAGTTCATCACCTGGTTTCTGACCCGCCAGAATCTACCACCTGACTCGAATTATCCAATGGGAACGCCCTAAACTAAATTTAGTTTTCCCTCAGTACTTCTAGTAATATTAGCATACCTCAAATGATCCTGGGTCATGGACAGAAGTCCTACATATCACTTCCGATGACGTAACTCGTACAATGGAACAAAAGTTAGCACCAATCTTCACAGTGGTACGGCCAGGGACTGGGTCAAACCCACTTCCTTTGATTGACAGTTCCGTTCCGCCCATGATGCTTCCTTCCGTCGGCGTTATACTCAACAGGATAGCGAGGCTGTCAATCACAGGCGATGCCCCGGCCTCGAACATGGCGAATCCTTCAGCCGCTACATGAATTTTCACATCGTGTTTTCCCGCCACTACCGAGCCAACCCGACACGAAGCCGAGTACTCCGAAGATGACGTTACTGTGCAGGAGCTGTTTCCGATCTTTATGTCCAAATCCGACGCTTTGCTCGGGAGTCCGGATCCGTATATGCGAATAGTGTTATCGTCTCCGACAATAGCCGACGGTATTAAGGAATCTACTCTGGGAGTTTTGGCGGCTGAGTAAGTGAACATGCAGCTGGAGGCACAGTTGCTTTCCACACCATGGACTCTAACAACGACAGGAAGCGACTGCGGTGTACTGGTGGCGGCTGTCTGGCATTTGATCTGAGTATAGGAAGATGATAGAATTTGACATGGAGCTCTGCCGATCCTTACATCAGGATTAGGAGAGAAGCCATCTCCGTTGATAGTCAGGATCGAGCCGCCCATCATGGAACCTGTCTGTGGAGATACGAACTGTACTGTGGGCAGCAGGCTGAATGAAGAGTTTAAGCTGTTCTCTATTCTAATGGCGGCATATCCTCTGTTATTCACTCGTACGGAGACACTATGCAGTAGACCTAAAAGAAAAACAATGAATGTATACAACAATGATTAACTTCAATAAAAACGTAAGTTTAAATTATTAAAAAAGTCTTTTAAAGAAAACACTCAATGGACCAAGAGAAATGAGACATGAGCAAAGATGCACATATAATCTCATCTGAAGCCCTTAACCGTCAATATCACCATAATTATGTTCTTCTTCCCAGACTTCATACAATCTGTATAACGTCATATGGGAGATAAATGTCAAGAACAATTACAGAATGTCAACTTACCAGCACTCAATTGGTTTCCTGTGGACACTACGCAAGTGATTTTATCCTCTGCAGAGCTTTGAACCACACAGTCACTGGAGCCGATTTTGACCCCGTTCTGGCAATTAGCAAGTCCAAAGCCTTTGCCTTTTATGGTGACGAGGGTTGAACTGCGTCCGTTGTTTGGCATAATTGACGTCACTTCCGGTGTACTACATTTCCAAAATGAGAAACTTAAGAAAGACGAGTTGTTTGGTAACGCAGGGTCTGAAGAAGAGCATAGTGGGATAGCATTAGTCACGCCCGACTGACAATCAGGAGAATTAGAAGCCGTGGGCTTCACAGCTGATAAGTTATAAGGTGCCTCAACTCCCCCAACTAACACTTTAACGTCATGGGACTTGGTCTTGAAGCCATTCACGATCACTTTTCCTTTCATGACAATAGCTCCATAAGGATCCACTACACCGCTTGAATAGAAATAAGTTCCTGGCATGTTAAACTGCTGACTGTAGTTACCGCTTCCACCGCGGGCACTCTTGAACCCTTTCCCGTCATATTCTGAGGTAGACGAGTCACGTGTCTGCTGCACACCAAAGCGTAGGCCAGATAGCTCAGGGCTCGTCCATCTCCACTGAAACAAAAATTACTTCATTAAAAAATTATTAATAAATATTAAAAGTTTAGTACATTATTATTAACTTTAATGGTGTGGTATTGCAAAGTTTTAGATACATGTACCGTTTGCCGACTTCACCAGAATTCTCTTCAAACACCTCAATACGCTGCCGCTACAAATGTTTGCTTCGCCGGGAACAAAAAAGTCAGGCGTGATCTTTGTTTTACTCAACAACAGCTTTCAAAATGTGTCTCTGAACACGTCATTGGTTCAATGAGACTCAAACTGGTGATTTAGTTGGGTAGAGCGCGCGAGTCGCGAAAACAAGCGGCAAAGCCGCGAGGAGCCCAGACCACTCTCAGCTTCCGCGCTCGTCTTTGCGCATCACGCCGCTCTATACAGTCCTCTAACCTAACCAACTAAACCGCCAGCTACGCAGGCTAGGCTGTTCCTTATGTGCCAGCCGCGCTTAGAACTCCTGTTCGTTGATCATCCTATTTGCTGCTGCAGAGATTCGTTATGAGATTGACTAGACTGGGTTGATGTGTTCACACTGTGTTTCCATTGCTTTGTTGCACTACATCCAGCTCTAATTTGCTCCATGTTTAGCTTACTTCAGTCATTAAGAAGCCAATCTAGTTCGCAATGCAACACATAACTTCGTTAGTCGTTTAAAGAGAAGTTCTGCTACATCATTGACTTCAAAACAGTTACACAGTAGTACCTGAACAGAGTCGCCAGAGTTTATCACAATGGTCTGAGGATTCCAGGCGTAACCAATACCATACTCTGAGGAAAAAGACACATGTCAAAATTACAGTTCAAATACTGTCTACGAAGAACCTTTAAGGTAACAAAATCTAATTACGCGAAGCAGAATCAAAGGGTATAATCCTGAGACACCAGCAAGCAAAAGCTCAAGCGAGCGAAGAAACTGAAATCGGGAAAGAAAGTCAGCTTCCTCTCGTCGCTAACGTTTCGCATTTTATATGTATGCTATGATAAACGTTGGCCACATAATTTCCTAATTGCTTGAGCTAAAAGTCTAAAGTCTTACTCGGGTGGATTCCAGTGTTGTCCACATTGTGAGCCGTAGACGATGCTTCCGTCCTGCACATGATGTTTGTGCTTCTACTTGACAGGACTTTGCAGGGAACATCACCAACATTTACTGCAATTGCTGAAGTGTTATCACTGAATCCACGACCAACAAGAGTCAGAACTGTTCCTCCAAACACAGAGCCGTGCCCAGGAGAGATGCCGCTCACATACAAGATGTAGTTGAACTGTGGTGGTCTGGAACGTAAGCCGGCTTCTACAGCACACCCAATGCCTTCTACACAGACTAGCACGTCATACATCCCAGGAGTACTAGCAGGAGTGGTGCATTTTATAAGCACGTCGGAGTACAAAGTCACTTTACATGGATGAGGACCTATTTTTACCGTCCCTTGTTGGGACCCAAATCCTGTGCCGTGGATCATTAACTGTTCACCTCCACTGACACTGCCTTCTGAGGTACTCAGTGATGACACTATCGGAGTCATTCCAGAGTCGTACCAGAACGCGTTCAACATCGATCCAACTTCACTGCCGACCGCGACATTGACACTTGCGTTACTTGTGTCATGAGATGTCGTGACACACGATATTTCTGTCATGGTGACATTAACTATGTCACAGATGGAGTCACCGATTGTCACACTGCTATCATTAGGTGTCACGCCAAATCCGTTCCCTGTTATAGTAACAAGCGTTCCTCCTCCAATACCTCCCCTGGCTGGTTTGATACCGCTTACACTTACTTCATAAGTAAAACTGGCTGGTCCACTTGAGGGCTTTGCAAATCCCTTATTTCCAATTTTCATGACAACATCATGCGATCCGCCAATTGACTGACCAGCGGTACACTTAATTATAGTTTCATTAGAGCTTGTCACGTGACAGGTGGTTGCACCAATGGTGACATTTACTTCCTGTATATTGGAGCTGAAGCCACTTCCGGTGAGTGTAATTTCGGTTCCGGCAGTTCCTTTTTGTGGTGATATAGAGGTGAGGGTTGGAGTGTCCGGGGATGAAAATGTGAAGGAACATTTTCTTTCGGAACAGCTCGATGGAATATTGTTCATCGTGACTGTCACCTAAAATGAATGTAACAAATATCTTGTAACGGAGCAATCTTAGTGTTATTAACATGAATCTTGAAACCTGATGGCAAAAATTTTGTGGCTCCATAGAAATTCCTTTTCCGTCAGATTGTCAGCTTAAACCTAAACCTAAACGCTCCAAGCATTCACTTACAAGAAATGTTTCACTGTTAGTTAATTTGTCGAACTAGGTTTGACTAATCAGAGTCCGATATTGTGCCTTTCTCGACTAGTTGGCTATCTTGACTTTGTGCCCTGGTTGGTTCTTACGCTCTTTGTGTTTTTGTAATTAGCCAGATGAGAACTGAGGATTTTCTTAACGTTTTAATATAAATCTAAGACCGCCCCGTTCGTATAGAATTGTTTCATACCTGTGGCTCGATTTCTGCCACTCGCAACATGTCACCTGGTATCGGTCTTAGGAACATTCCTCCATCATCGATTGTGACAGCTTTCATTGACACGTTGTTTCCTGTCAAACCGGTTCCATTAACTGTCAGGGCTGGTTGATCTCCTCCTGTTGTGGCCCATTCCACTATCCAGTTATAGGACGCGCATGTGCCTACACGGCTGACGGTGACCTTACCGATGTCGAAATTGTTTTCGAGAATGGATTTGAACTCGTCTGCAGATACGTTAGCAGGGATACCTAGAAAAGGAATAAGAAATATTTAGATTTAGAGAACTACATTACATTACACCAAAAATAATAAACCGCGTCAATACTGTACCGTCTATTGAACACTTACATACTGTTGTAGTTGACCGAAATCTTGTCGCGATCTTTTCTTTTTTTTTTATAAAAAATCAACAAAACATATTGAAACTAACTTAGCAGATGCAACACGCTTCGCAAAGTTAGAAGGTGGTTTTCACCGTTACTGTTCATGTTTGTCGTGTAGCTAACTCATTGAATAACGGATTGTTTTTGCAGTCGAAGAACAATTATCTTAGATATACTGCCCTCTATACCTCTATAACGGTAAGCTCGAGAAGGTACCTTTAACTTTCTCATTTTCCAAGAAGATATCGAACGTTCCACCAACTGGAGGAGTTGAAGCTTGATCACGTGATACAACAATATTGCAACTCTCTGACGCGTTGACTGGTCTAAATATCGCCTGGTCAGATGTAGCGTTACCACTGACCACGGTGGCTTCTGCAATCTGCAGGAGTTCGATCCCAGTCCCACAAGAAGAGGGAGTTAGTGAGACAGACCAAGCTCTTGGTCCTAGGCTCTGCACGGTCACATCTTCGAGTATGTTATCACCAGGCTCGGCAGCAGGAAGCAGTCTTTGTACTTGAACAAATAGAAAATGAAATATTTAAAGTGAGTCTTGAAGAAGCCAGAAAATAACAAGAGCAATTAATGTATGAAAAAACCTACCCATTACAGGGTCCCTCCAGATGAAAACGTCGTCAATATAAAGGTCCACGCCTGCATCACGTGTCACGCTGATGAGCTCCACGTAAACCTTATAGCGTAAGTCGGCCTTGATATAAGCATCATGTAAGATCTGATCGTAAACATTCATGCACAGTGAATTCCATTTCTCATCCGGGACAATAACAATACTGTACTTCCGCCATGATCGCCGGTCAGCACCGGACTCGTCTGTGTATGAGATACGAAAACTGATGAAGTCTTTCATCTTTCCTTTGTATGAAAAACAAAGCTGTCAAATGAAAAAGAAAACAGCAAAGATTAGGGCTCGTAAACGTTGATATAAAATGTGACAAGGTTGGTGTCGGGTTTGCTACAGAGCTAGAAAGAACAGATAGTCGAAACTACTTTTGCCATCTCTTTAATGAACAGATCGTAGTCCTTGGAGAAGAAAAAATGCTTTGCAATTTTTGCACCATTTTTAGTCAGAATTCAGTTTTAATCTTTTCTGGTATTGATGACAAGCATACAGTTACTCAGACTAACCTAAGTGACGCATTAGTTTCACGGCAACATAAAGCTTTACTGTGAATCCCGAAACTCATCCATGACAAGTCACAAAATTACAAACGCCAGAATGCGAGATGAACTCTTAATCTCAGCACGTGCATTGCGAAGTGAAAACTCGCCTCACTCGTTTTGTGCCTCGTGTTGCTGGGTAAGCAACCTTACAGAAATTCTCCAAGTTATAAATGGAGAGATTCAGTTCTTTTTCGTCGTAGCCTACATCTTTTTTAGCCTCAAGTTATTGCAACATTGAACAAACACGAACCTGTTGGTATCTTGTTACGTCGTAGCCTCTTAAGACTCTCCCCCACATATCTTTGGTCTGGCCACTATAGAATATATATTGAGGATTCTTCAAGGAGAACCGACCACAATGAGGTTTTGATTTGAAGACTCTTTCACCCCATTCAGGGCCCTGCGACGAACTCTCAAACCCGTTATAATAGTAGGCTTGTCCGGGTGGAGTCTGGTAACTACAGTACCAGTTTGTCATGTTTTTTAGTTGTTGTTGGATGTCGTTATCTGATGCGTCGACGTGAATGCGTTCTGATGTTCTTCCAGCCAGGGACAACTTGAACCAGTAGTTACCAGGAACACCTTGTTTAAGTGAAAAGGAACTCTGTTATCACATTGAATAAAAATAATCGTCAAATACTAGTAAAATAAATATTCCTGGCAAGTCTGACACGGCGTTTCGTCTTGGCCAATAGACTCTTCTGGGCTAGACCTTTCAGAATCGATAAGATTCACATTAAATTACTCTGTTATAATGCATTCATGTACAAATCGGTTTGTCGTAAAACCAAAAACAAATCAGTTACTTGCCGATAAATCAGACTACTCAGCCAATCTCAAACCTTAGTAAAACTAAAACCAAAACCAAAGAAATTGCCTGATAACTTTCTTTACTCAATTAAAAACCGCTCTATCTAGCTCCGACTACTCCAAATATAAAACCGTACAATTCAAACCAGTCGTAGAACCTTAAAAAACCAAGGCTAAGCATCTGCAATGTTTTATAAACAACGAACAACGAGACGTAAAATGAAATTTATGTGAAAGTGTATTTGCAGGGAGGTTCGGAATACTGTATTTTCTGTTTGCTGTACAGTCTCGTATCGAGGTCCTAATGGCTCCCCACCCCAGCACCCCAGCGTAAACTGCTGACCAAGAAGCCGGAAGGCTCTGTATACGACACTTCTGTCAACATTTTACCTTTCTGTAAGCGTGTGATTTTAACAGAAGTCATATTGGATGTCACAGAGGTATAAAACAGCATTCGTGTTTCTTCAGGGTTCTTGAAGTAGAAGGTAACTCTATAAGCTGTGGAGTTTTTGCTCTTGATGAGCTCTGTCACATTTACTTTGCCTTGCTTCCTGACACTTGTAAGATTGTTGAGTGCTTGTTGAAGGGTTTCAGCGGTCAGATTGTTCATTGACACAGAAGTCGTGTTGACTCCGTCATAGCTTAGAGAAAACAAGTCGATGCAAACAGTAATATTTCCTATAAAATATACAACAATCTGGTATTAACATGAATCTGTTCCTTTGATCCTGCTACCTTCACGTTACATTCACTAACAGTTGAACTTCAATTTCCCGTGGTGTAACTGCTCAGCGTTTCTGAACGATTTTCTGACATCCTATTTAATGGGTTGACTTTTAAGCTTATATTTCCGTATAATTGCGTTTTCTACGCCAGTTATAAATCGATCCAAGACCTAACTTGTGAAACTTTGTCTCCAACCAAAGCGAATTATTTCCCCAGTCTTGTTTCACAGCTGTGTTTTCTGTGCGTTTCGTCCTCAAACAAAAGGGAAATGTGCAACTTACCTTGACTTTGGTTACATGGTGTCACCTCTATTTCTTGGACTTCAAACATTTTCCCGTCATCCCAGCTAGAAATGTTGATTATCTAAAAAGATATAGATGATGATAATATTTTTATTTTTTATGTGAAATCCTTCAATAGTTTTACTTCATGGGTGTTAACCATTTTTCAGGTAGCAAGCATTGATTCTGCACAACTCTCTCGACATAGTCTATTAGAACAAGAGGAACTGTTTAATAACAGTTTAAAACTCGGCATCTATGCGTGTTTATATATTACATATCTTTACTTGAAAACTGTCGGTATAAATGAATTGCAGTGAAGCTGAATAGTTAGTAAGAGACACCATGACAAATACCAATTAGAAGGAAGCTTTTCATAATGTTGTCAGAAGATTTTGCATCAAGTCTTACTTGCACTTCTGGATGTTTTATTGATTTAATAAGAATTTCTTGTTTTTCGTTCACTGCCGAACCAGTCTGCGAGTTCACGTAACGTGTTTTCTGCATTTTAACTCCAATCATCACGTGACTTTTCCCGCCATCCTGTACGTGCAGAGCCTCGATGTAGTAACGCTGTCCTTTCTTGAGAAAGAAAACCGCTGACTTCTGTTCGGGTGAAGCAGACCAGCTTGTTGATGGCTTGAGACAGGATGCGATTTTCGTCTGGAAAAAAAAGAAAAACGAAAATTTCGGCTTAATGTTCATTCGTTTCCAACCATTTTAACGCTGAAAAATCATTTTAAAAGAAGGTGCATTTCTCTAAATCTGCACTCTTCATTGTCGTTTATCGAGCACTCAGTAAATGAGATACTTGCTGTACTTAGCTGGCAATACCTTTTCCAGTTCATGTCATTGATCAATCAGTCGATCAACGGAAGAAAAGAACGTTGTTGATAGTAATTCAGTATCAACCCCAAGACGCACAAGGTAAACTACAATAACTTACACCGCGGCCTTAATTTGCAAACGTGTAACTTACTTTGCCAGCCGCAGATTCATTCATACTCAAGTACAACTCGGCCTGATCATCGGCTTGAATGTAGAACGTGTAGTTATTGTCCGAAGGAGGAACGAAGAAGCCTCCGAGGCGATCGCTGAATGACGTTGATTCACCAAACGAGGCCTGGGTTGGAGAGCTTGCCTCGGGTAACACTTCCAAGTGGTAGTCTGCAGCAGTCGTTTTCAGACCTCCGACGGCCGATACAGACAAGGGTCTGGTGCTAGTCCAAACTTCACGTAATAAACCACGTGATCCTGAGACATTCAAATTGGAGTGTGTCAGTGATTCAAACTCAAGCAGCTCAATCACTTTTCATTTGATGGAAGTATTGCCAGTATTACAGTCCCTGGCCATTATTAATTACATCATGTACAAGTAGTAAATTGAACTACGTTCACTGGAATCGTGCTTACCTGAATAAAAATCATATTTATCTGCAGGAGGAGCTTCCATTGTTTGGCATTTAATGGCGTCATTTTCCATCAATAGTATTTCACAAGGAACTCCTAGTAGAGAGAAAATAGCATTTGAACATAACAAATGGACTCGATTATAAATGACCAGGCAGTTATTAACCTTGATCAAGTCATGAATTAACAGTCTTAACATTACATAACAGAGTTATCTTCATATCTTAGGGTGAGATAACAATCCTCGTAGTCCATCTGGTATATGGTATGCAGTATAGACTCGCTCAAAATTGGCAAAGTTCATTTTACAAGTAGTACCTGCTACTTCAACTGAAATCTTGGTGGCACGCTCATCAAAACCTTTGCCTTTTATGGTGAGAACTGTTCCACCTGCCGTGCTACCAATAGAAGGACTGACTTCTAAAATATCTACGGATAAAAAGAGAGACATGAGGATAAATACTATCTTCAAATCAGTAACATCAGAAAGCTAATGTTACTGTCGGGTTTGATGAGCGCTTTGGAATATCCTTTGGTGGTATCAAAACCGCTCGCCCAGTAAAATGCTGGAGATAATTTTAAAAATAACAAAAGTTTCATTGAAAAATGAAACGTTTTGCCATTTAATTGACTGGGATGTAAAAAAAAGAGTAAGGCGAAACTGTAAGGAAATTTAATCAGCATATCACCAAAGGAAAATTGTTTGCATACAGTACAGCCCGGAAATAATGCACGCGCAAGAACGTCTTTTTGCGTCCGCAACTTCTCGTAGTTACTTCGGTACGCTTTCGCTTAAACCCAGCAGGCAGTTGCACAAAACTTCTTTCAATCGTGAGAAAAGCACAGGGTTTAATTGTCTTCTTGTTGATATTTTTTTTAAGCTCTTCTTCTTAAGGAAGTATTCATGGTCTCATTACGTCATACCTGCGTGAGTTTGGAATAGATAAAGCTTGTCCTGTGAATCAACTGAAATGACATCCTTAAACATCTGAGATCGCCCATATCCAGAGACCAGGAATGACACTCGCTGGGATCCTAAAGAAAATAGATACACACTAATTTCTCCCATCCTCTGACGTCGTATGAAATTTTACTGCTGGAAAGAAGTCACAGCTTTTCAGTGTTAAGCTACTCGGAATAACTTCAGAAATATAAAGTTTTAACGCAAACGTTCACGAGTGGCGTGACCCCTCAGTTGTTGACGTACCGTGTGACTCTACTCGCAGGGTATCGTTGAAGGCAAATCGATGTTAAAATTCGATAAAGTTTAATAAGAGGCAAAATTTGAAAGGAAATTCAAGACATTTGATGCTTAGCCACTCATTTAAGGATGTTCGTTGCACTGCGTAATTCATTCAAGGGTCAAACTCAAATCATGCATCACAACATTCCAAATATAACTTCAATTCTTACCGATCACTGTGGATGCAGGCTTACATTTGATGTAACCAATCTTCGCCACGTTGTCTTCAATTTTCATCCCATACCTAAAAATTGAAAATTGACACAAGTACAAAAAGTTAACACAGGCAAAACGCGTGTTTTAGGAAGGTTTATTAATGATTTTGGAAGTAATTATGTTTCAAGTTTGTTGAGCTCAACAACTGGCATACGTAACGTGCTCTGACAAAAACGTACAGAGTTCTTGACCACCATTTCCTATTGGTTCAATGTCCTATTTGAGTTTTTCCGCCTTTATTGTACGATTGTCGCTAAGACGATCAAATCTGAGAATACATTTCCAGGAGTGGATTTATCCTATAACATTAATTGAATTTTTTTTTTCTTGTGTAAGTATGTCGCGTTTAGTAAATAATAATCATTTATGTAGTTATGTACAACAACTGAGTATTTTATAGGTTACTGGATGGGTCAAAATCACAATGAGTCACTTCATGAATAACAACACTTCATAGCTTACAGTTGTTCCGTTTCTGGATCTTTTATCTCACAAAGACCCGCACCAGCATATATCCTGAAAGAAAAATCACAGACAACTGAGAAAACGAACTGTTACAGAACTTTAAATTTAACCTACTCCTCGTTAGCTTTGGTTGGAGGTCAATGTAACAAATGGTAAATACTTCGAAACCCTTATTAATTCAGCTGAACTATCACTTTATTATTTAACTTACTCTTAACTCCTTAGAATTCCATCAGTAATTTATATTAATAACACAGAAAATGTGGTTCTAACCTTGTAAATATGGTACTGTGTGTGTAGGATGCGCAAGTGTTCTGCGTGAACTTCTAAATCTAGTCAGTGTATCTGTAACCATTCAAATGAATGCTATGGAAAAGTACTGTAACGTCAGTGGTGATTTTTTTCCTCAATATTTTCCAAAGTTGAATGTAAAATTTTCTGGGGTAGTTTTCAATTCTGAGCTTTGCAGCCATTAAAAATTTTTAATTTGGCACAGGAGTAATCTGTGTTGTGCAAACATTTTGTGAGGGGAAACTGGGAAGAGAAATCGAAGTGGTTTCAGACTCTTTCCGTTGTGTACCTTTCAATGGTAGGCATGCTGGGGTCAAAGTCCTCTGTTTCCATAACTTGATCGGTAAACATCCTTCCACGTATTGTTAAAAGCGTCCCTGTGATGAAGAGTTTGGACATCAAACATCGTTTAGTAGCCGAGTTGTAAATGATTATACAATAAGTGACTGGCAGATAGACAAAGATTAAGGCTCTTACTGAGCAAAGACCTAAAGAATAGTTGAGCAAGCAAAACATTTCGCTCAACCACTTTATTTCACAGAGGCAATCCGCCACTGACAATAACGGTAAAGTGTTATTTTCTGTGATTAAACAACACACCTGTGAAACTATTTCAAAGAAACTCAGAAATACCACGCTGATAGTTTATAAGCACAATGCCAGACTGCCAATTTGGCAATCCGCCACTGACAATAACGGTAAATGTTAATTTCTGTGATTAAACAGCACACCTGTGAAACTATTTCAAAGAACCTCAGAAATACCACGCTGATAGTTTATAAGCACAATGCCAGACTGCCAAAGAACGAATACCCCAAAGGTCAAGATCAGGAGGCAAGAAGAAGGCAGCTCGGCTAGTCTTAAAAAACATTTTACAGAACACGTTTTATTTCAAGCTGTACTATGCAATCCTGTTCAGCTTTCGCCAGCCTTACTAAAGCCTTTTTGACTTGCTCGTATTCTATCTACATGTAGTTTCTTTTTTCAATTGTTTTAGTTCGTAATTAATGGGTTCTGCCTATACTATGCCTGCAGCTAGATTTAACATGGAATCTCTAGTAAGAAATTTAGCGCCGTATTATCTCTAAGACCAGGGAAAATTAGTTCATAAGGTTGACAAAATAAATGTTAGATCGCATAGTGCAAGCACTTTGATCGATTGGCAAGCAATGATATATGTTTAGCACGCGCATAGACTGTCATTAAACTCGAAACTCGAGTTTTTTATCAGCAAGTCTCCATCTATAACTATAACCCATTGGGTTGTTTACAAAAAACACTGAACCCTTCCAAATTTGGTGGGAAGCATACTAGTTTGAATAACATCCTAACAAAGGTAAATGACAAACGTTATGAATAAAAATAGCAAGCATGTCTGATGGTTGTGTAAGTCTTGGGTGAGCCTCTATCTTCTTCGAGCTACAATAGGCAATGAAATATTGAACGCTTTTGAAAATTTTTTACATTGTGCGCTTCTGATAGATTGGGGAACTCATCAGCGTCTCGGTCGATCAGTATTTTCAGAAAAATCTAACACAAATGAAATTTATTCTACAGAGATATTTCATCCCAGAAATATAACGGAATCTTAAAAGAATATTTGAAAATAATTCTACGTTGCACTGACACTGCGCGTTTTGTGTGACCCGTCGTGCGCTCGGGTGCATTTTTGTTCGCTTATGAACCCTTATGAACCCTTATGTAGTCAACCAGACGAATACAAATACCAGTTTTAATGTCAATACAACGTTTATCAAGCAATTTCCAAGGTAGTTATAGTTTTTCTCCCCGAAATTTGCTGGTCAATAATTAAGTGCAGAAGAGTTTCTTTTCTTGCTTAGGAATGCGCTTGGTGAAGGTTACCTGCTGTTCTTCAAGATATCACTTCAAGTGGATACCATATGTGTTTTGACAGTAATTAAGAACGCGTAACATTTGGCGCCTAAGTTTCACAAACATATTTTTGGTAGAGTGATATTACAAAATCGGTGAAACAGATACCAGGCACTGTATTAAACACCGCTTTAACATTTTTGCCTTTTGTTTACTTTTTGGTAACTAGTTAAAGAAGATTAATTTTTGTTTCAGGAGTTTTATGAGATCACGCTAGCAGTAAAGCGAATATTGCTGACGAAGGAAAATTACAATGAATCCAAAACTACTCCGGGGGTCCCTTTTTGCTACCTTACAAACTATCAGACTGAACTTTTCCGCAAAGGGAAATTGGACTGGTACTTGGCTGTAAAGGCCAGTAAACAGTGGAGCCGTTAAGTTACTTTTGATTAAATTAGTATGCGCATAATTTGTTACATTCGTTTCCATCAGTTTTCAAACTGCACAGAAATGAAAAAGCTACAAATACTCGTTCATAGCCTGTTTATGGAATTCGGATAATTTTGGTTCTGCTCTTTTTATTCATAACACCGCAAAGTTGACTTACTTGTTAATGGATTTTTCCGATGGAGTTCTGAGTTCCTTTAATCTAAAAACTAGGGCCGAGTACAAGAAATGCAACGAGTGTCCCAGAAATAATGACAACAAAACTAAATTGCCTTGAATTGCGCTTACCTGGCAATTCATATCTTGGTGTTAATGAGGTAATTGTAGGAGTTCTGTCCTCGGTATACTGAAAAAAAAGGCCGTGTTGGATACATCACTCTGATAATGTAAGGGAGCTCGACTCTTAGATGCACTAAGAGTTATCTGCTAGTTAATTGAAATGGTTGCAATAAATCAATCCATATTCAGGTTGATCTGTGATGATGCTAATTCCTCAAGACTTAGAGAAGGAGGATTTGATCCTCAGAAGCAAGACTGGTTTTTGCCTCAATAGCATTTTCTTCATCTTGTAATTTAATTAACTACTCAATATTTTAGATGTGCTTTCTGACAAACTGTAAGCAGGTAAGCGAATAGCTGGTTTAGACTAGCTTTCATGTGTTATAATCATTAAACAATTCATAGTATTTGAACTGAAAGAAGTGATCCAAACTTGAAAAATCCCATACCTTAAACACACATTCACCTCCACAATACGCTCTTCCATCACTGTTATCCAACCACTTCCCATCCACCAGCACTCTTATGTTATAACTGTCTTCTCCTGACAATGAGGGTCTTTAAACGACAAAAATAGGTTCAATTGATGAGATCAAGACAGAGCTACAAGTTATGCTAGTTCACTTGACAAAGCGATTATACAACATTATCTCCTAAAAATATTCCGTCTACTGGATCACGGTAGTAAATCACCACAAAAGAAAATTGTTTATAATAACCTTTATTTTAAGACCGTTCCTATGAAACCAAAAGCTCCTATGAAACTCTAAGCTCGTAAAACTATAAGTTTTGTTCTTCCAGACAAAAACATTATACTTATCGCTATAGGGATACAACATTTAGACAGTTCACCAACCTTGTCAGACAAACGATTTGATACTGGGTCGTGTAATACGTTATGACGTCACAAGGTACGATATGGGCACGCGACACTGACACAAGGGTGACGTTATTGCCCAATTCCTTTTGAAACTCGTTAAACTGGTCCTCTGCAAATCCTAAAACAGGAAAAACCAGTCAAAGGCTTATTATGTATGAGAGTAGGTCAGAGAAGGAAGTCTCGGCTCTGGAGTTCAAACAATGGTGACGGGGTTTTTATGAGAAGTTATTACGTTTCGTTCGGTTTACTATTCGGCAGCAAGTCTCAGCAAATATTTAACATGTTTTATAGTTTTCATATTGTTTTACGCTTTGGAGCGCCATTCCAGAACAATTAAGACTTCATAGACAACAAAAGCTCTTTTCTAAACCTTTAATTAATCTTATTGTTGTATGAACTTCTCTCTAATGGGGTTAATTATCCCTTCTGGAAGAACTCTTCAGTTCCTAATAAAAATGTCAATTTGTAATAATCTTTTTTAATTATATGAAACATGTTAATACACAAGCAATTAAACCTTCAAATACAACAAGTAATCATAGCCGTTTTGATAAGTTGGTGGCAGAAGATAGCTTCAGTGAAGTTTATCGTTAAATGATAAAGAGGAAATTGACGAAAAACTCGAAAAATGTTACTATCAGTGGTTTGGAAAAGTTTCCATAAGCTTATCTCGTAAAAACAGTCTTAATTCAAGTTCTATAAAGCTTAGCTTAATTCCTTGCCATGGCCACAATTAACGGCTGAAATCTTAAGTGATAAGTGACAGAGGACTTTATACCTCCAGCTCGACACGTGTAAAATACATAAGATGACAAAACAATGAAATTTAATAAAACAAAAAGGCATAAGGCAATAAACCATGTAAGCTAATTAATTTTGTAGTCATGCGTCGATAGACCCTTCCAAGGAATCAAAATTTCCCAGCCATTTGCCACGTTTGCTTTCCGGCACTTCATTACGTGTACACACGCAGGGAGCGTGGGCGTTCGAGTGGAGTAAGCGTGATTCAAGGGCGTCTTACACGTGGTACACAAAAACGTGACCGTTTAATTAAGCCAAATTAATGGTTTTGATTTCCTGTTAAAAAGGTTGCTCTTCATCACGCGCGCGTAGACAGACATTGTCGTTTAACACTGGAATTTTTTTCCCGCGGTTTTATTTGCGTAAAGACATCGCGGGCGAAGCGCGATTCAGAGCTCAGCGCAAGTCTTTTCTGTGTAAAACGTGACCGTTTCTAAATTCTGGTAGTTCAATTTTATGTCCTAAGGCCAGATTCATGAAGACCTTTTAGATAAAGGTGTCTCGTAAGTATTGTTCGATTACAAAAGCCTGTATCTGTTATAGAAAGCAATGCTTTGTGCATGAATTTAGCCCCTGTTCAGTATCAAAAGATGGCTACAATAACTTGTTACATAACATTGATAACGTTGTTTATCATCTTTCTTGCCACTACACTTCACTGACTGAGTTGACTGCAACACTGACACAATAAATAGCCTGATTTGAATTCCGCTCGAGTGCCGGCCGGTGAAAACAGATCCATGATTCGAGCTTTCCGACGTTTATCACGTGCATTCTGCAGTAAAATGACGCGTCAGTGACTTACGACTTAGAAAACCACCCCATTCTTTTGAGTTGGTGAAAGATTGAAATCTCAGTTTTAGAAGTTAAAGCTGGAATTATCAGCCCGCTCATAAGGTTTCATATCTTTGTTATGACCCTGTCAGAAGTGTAAGTCAATCTCTTTTAAATCGCTCGGCAGCCTAAAGTAAGATCCTGGAGCTGATATTTTCTAAATGCGTGTACACTTTGGATCAATAATAGGCGGTTTGGTTCATGATATATTGAGACAGGGTACGTTTACACAGACGAATCCAGATGGCCGGTTCGGATTTTCGAAAACCAACACTACACGGGGGTTATAATTTCCATTGTTAACCCTCTCTTAGCTTTGAGTGCTATTGTACACAAAATATCTGAAAACTGCTCTGTACCTCGCAGCACTCTAACATAACGTACGCTAACTCGAAACTTGAAATCAGAGTTAATTTGCCTAAGACAATAAAAGTGAACAGTTTTGATTCACAGTTTTAGGCCCCAGATGGAGGGCCGGCAGCTATGGAAATTTGTGGCCTACCTTCACCATGTATTGTTAATTTTGTCCCTCCTTGCAAACTTCCAGTATTTGGAGTTATCTTTGTTACCCGCCCACCTGAAAAATGAAGCATGTTGATCGATTAGCTTAAGTACTGGTCTTTTTTCAAATCGTAGAACTGTAAATGAACATAAAACACCAATTTTTGAAGAATTAGACAGGAGGTAGAACAAGTTACCTTGAGCTAAGGCGAGAGCAGAGAGCAACAAAACAGCTACAGCTTGCAGAATGCCCTCGTCCGGTTTCTTCATCTTGCAGTGAAAGCAAAATCGGGAAAATACTCTCGAGTATGTCGTGTAATGTCTTCTCCGGCTGAAATCTTCGCTGTGTACTTAATTTATAAAATCGTGATTCAAAGACTGACAATTTTTCACAGCTTAGTAAGCAATTAATAAACCGTGGCTTAAAGGTCACATCCAATTGTGCGATCAGTCGAACAAATCGCTTTGCAGCGAAATCAATGAATACTGTGTCCTGTCCGGGTGTAGTCAATTCTGGTGACATAAGTCAAAGAGACTAAGGTATATTGCCAAAGGATTTATATAGACCGGTGAAGTTAAATTCGATCCTGTTTACACTGAGATTAGACATGGTCAAGAAATTTGAGTGCATATTTTTATTAGGGTTATGTAAAACAACTGGGTTGATAAGGATGCAGATCACATCCTGGCGATAATGTCATATTCTTAACACGATGAGTAGCCTCGAGTAGCCCATTAACTTAAGAAAACACCAGGTAGAGCGTAGCTTTTGACCCCTGAAAATATCTGTATGCGGCGGCGCACGCAGACCGAAAAGCCTCAAGAACCGACTCAAAACGTGCGCAAACGGAACTTGTCTACGAAATGAGATAAGCAAAGCTTTTGAAGGACACCTTAAATTGCTTAAGATTTTTGTTGACATAACATGTTTACAGTTGAAAACAAAAGAATTGTAATGCAGCTCAACTAAGACTGCTGCAGTGGGCATTAATGACGTCACGATTTGATCTGAGTTTGCGTATGACAAGATTGCGCAAGCTCGCGCAAGCTATGTGGCTTTGTGAAAAAACATTTTCATCACGTCTTCAATTGAACCCTCATAAATAAACTAATGGGCCATTACCCTATCATCGTGTTAGTGTGTAAAAAGTGGATTACCGCAAAAGTAACTTTTTAACCCTTTTAATGTTAAATTGACTTGAGCTGAACTCGGCACGCAACCATCTGCAATTAAAAGGGCATATTTCACATTCCACGAAAAAACTAATAGAAACATAGCAAGCTAAAATCAATGCTTAGTTTAATTTTAGTTGTTCGACAAAACGTTCTGATTAGAACGGTTGCAAGTTCCCTTCATGGTTTGCGTTGCTGAGTAAATAAGAAACAATAAAACCGCCCGTCGAGAACATTCAATGTTCTGCTTGGCTGTGGTGAACAATGAAATGCCCAGAAGCACTTTAATTAGCTGAGTTCACACGACTTAGTCTTCTTCGCTGCGTAGAAGGTTTTACAGGACTGTGACGTTATATAAAGGTACACCTTTCAATAAACAACTTTCCCGCGGCGTGTCCATTTTGCCACGTTCTTTCTTTTCCTCATTCAGAGGCACTCAGCGTAAGGATCTTGACCAACTTCCCTCAACTCGCCTGCTTGGCACGAACAACTTTGCAAACAAAACAACGAGCATATTTATTTTGTAGGAGTCCATAAACATTGACTCGCCCTTGGCGGGTTAGAGTAGATCTAGGCCCCCAACAAAAACTGTTTCGGTCATGTTCCAAGATCTTTCCATCTTTCCATCTCCAGGGGGCGGTAAGATGAGAGACCCTGGAAACGAGGTTGTCCATCGGGCTAGTTTTTAAAATTTGATCCCGGACACATCATTTCCTGCTGAACGATCAAAAGAAACCCAAACTGTATTTCAGTCTGTCATATTTATTGATGACAACAGAAGCACCATACTCAACAATTGCGTTGTTCTTTTTCGGGACTGTGCAAAATTTTAAAAGTCAAACCTTTTTAAAAAGATAATAAGTACATAGCTGAGAAAAATATACAAAAGAGAACGAAGTATTGGGTATCGAAAAGTATCTTAATGTCTTTCATCCGACAGCCTGTAATGGGTTTCTGCTACCACCTTTGTTCAGCGTTTTGTAAAATAACTCCACTGGAAGGGGCCAGACATGGCTCCAGGGCCTTCCAAATGGCGACTGTGTTAAATTTAACCGTAGCCGAAGCAGCTAAAGTAGATCACCAGATGAAGCAGAGTCATCCAGTCTCCAGTCTAGTGGAGCCTATGTTGTCAATCCCAACCCACAATGAGACAGATTTGACAGAGTTTGAGCCAGCAGCTAACACATTGTCCTCAATGAATGACAGTGCACTAATGGGCTGTTGGGATAGAATCATATGCCAGGGCTGTGTAATCAATCCTGCCTCTGTGCTCTTTATCACATCAGAAAGTTTGTAAAGGTTAATAGTCTGGCCTTGATTGACTGTTGCAAGCCATCCTATTAAAGAAGGAATATGAACCTTTCAGAGTTTCTGTTAGATTTAATACCGTCACCGCGCTGGTTTCGATGTACACCTGTATTGTGTTGTCTACAGTCTACACACAGACTGTTGGCCTCGTAGAATCAACCCGGGATCATTTGATCAAATAATAATAAATAATCCTACACAGCATTTCTCACACAACAAATTGTCAAGCTTCACAAAAGAATACTAGGGAGCTTAAGCAACGACGACGGTGACGCCGGGAACGACGCCTATTCAAAAATGAATTTGTATTTTACAAGCGAAATTCACTATTGTCTAGATCTGTTCAGTACGCCAATGGCTCTGAAAACGTACTCAGGCTAAATATGCAATGACAGCGTTCAGGTCCAAATGAAAGGACGCAAAATTAGGCGTCATCCGTCGCGTTCCATTTGGTCATTTCACGCTTTTGTTTTGCAGAGGACCGCAAAGAAATGTACCACGATTTATAAGGCACGTGCACAGCCATTGTTTTGCTCATTAAACGTTTTGTTTGGTGACGTTCTCGTTGCCGTTGTCGTCGTGGTTTGCTTAAGCTCCCTATTACCTGGCTCATCACGACATGAAGCGTACATGATGTAGCTAATAACTCTTTATTCTCAATAAGGAGGACATTAGCTGACATATTCATGCCGTAAGGTGGAGGAGGGGCTTACATATTCCATAACGATTTTGGCATGTTCTGGTCAGTTAAATTTGAACTATGTTTTTACTGTGATTTATCCAGTTTCCTCCAGTTTCATCTGTCTGATACTCCTTATATGTAGAAGAGAGAAAAACAAAATGGTCCAAATCCAATTTCAGCCACATAACTTATATCTTACCTTGCAAGAAACTATCAAAATCTCCGTTACATGATATAAAGATAGCAAACTGTTACAGAACTAAACTAACCTTCCGTCTGACCATGTTTGGCCTGGACAGCGAAAACACTGTGGCCACCTTGACTACTGGGTAGCATGATCTGTTGCAGATGAGGAGGGTGAAAGTACCACAGGTCACCAGAGCTGTCACACAAAACACAACCATCTGCCGATGCACGCTGGATATCTACAGCAGGAAAAAAAATTCAGCATAATTTCAGATTTCCTAACATTGCAAAAATTTCCATTAAATGTTTCAATAAGGCAGAACACCCCAGGCATGGTTACCACAGACATCACTTGTCAAAATTCGCTGACTTTTCCCGGTAAAAATAAAATTTCCCTGACCAAATAAATGTACAAATGACAGATATAGTAGCGGCTTCTGCCCTCCCCCATACAATGATGGTTAATATTAGAAAGCCTGACACAGGACTGATGTTCAAACCATAGTTAGTGGAGGTTCCCCTCCACAAACTATGCTCAAACTGAAGATGTTTTACATGTATCTATAGAGAACTTGCAGATATTCATTGGGTGTACATGTATACATCAATCTAGTAATTTTAAACAAGCAATAAACAAACACAAAGAAGTTTTTGCATGTTAATCACGAACGTTTTTTTCAAGTGTACTATACACACTGTATTTGTAGGACAGAGGTTGGTAGGTGTAGGCCAAGCACTCAACAACCACACAAGCCTCAAGCAACCCTGTTTTTCTTTTCTCAACCAAACTTCTTTGATTCATCTTAGCAACGCAGTGGTCACAGAGAGTACATTATTCGCCCTCTAAAGTAATACCAACCTTGCACAGTATTTCCAATTTCTGATGAAGGAAAGGGGATATGACTAGTGACAAACTTTACATCACCATCCTCAGAGTTTACATCTGAAAAGCAAATGAACTGTAACTGTAAACTATTACAATCTACAACGAAAACCAACTTTTGGACTTTCCCTTCTGGCTAGCCATACCAATGATGTACTAGCCTGACAATCATTATCACTACCGCACTACCCCCTCCCCACCCCCATCCCCGTCCCCATAGTTACATTATGATGTTGCTATCAACAACAATCAATGTTTGGGTACACCATGGCCTAAAAGTTCATGTGCTGGATTCTGGGTTGAGTACTCTGGGTTGAAGCCCTGGCCTGAATCACTGCATTCTAATCTAAAGGTTGTTCGTGCCCACTGTATCTGCGCATCCTTACTGCGCGCGTAATTCACGTTGCAACATCACGCCATTTCATACATCAGGCACCTGCACTAGGGAAGAAATATAAGCAAGTGTAGGGCTTGGTAAAAGTTCCATTAACTTCACCTGCAGTTTACCCTTTTACATGGTCAGTGAACCAGTCTTTTCTTTATACAGATCATTTCCTTCATTGATTTTCTCCATTTTAACAAGAAACAGACAAAATCTATATGCAAGAAGTAAAAAATATTTTGCCTTATCTGTATTTGTGGGACCGAAGTTTCTTCAAACATGGATGGGCAAGACTAGTATGGATTCTTTTCCGAGGCCTATCCTAACTCAAGGAATGAGTCAACTGCAAAGGTTTACTGTACTTCATAGACTTTGCTGTGTTGAATTGAGTATGTTTACCTGATCTAAATGTCACTAAATGTAGCTTCTTTTACTAGATTCCCTATAGTTGTAAGCTAAGATTGTCCTAAAATAATGAAAGCGTCTAAAAACGCATGGTCTTCAATGTGCCTCAGCTAAAAAATGGACCCGGTGATGACTCTCCCCCCCCCCCCCCCCCCCNCTGCTGAAGTGGTTCATCTTGGGGCTGAAGATCTTTAGCAGAGTGGGCAGTAACTGCTGCGCACTCAGCAAATAGAAAGTCATGCAGGCATTTCAGCTGGCCTTTAGACCTCGCTCTTAGTCTGAAGAAGTTGAAGAGCTTTCCATTTGACCTGGCCAGCCCAGAGGTAGAAACCTGCTGTGGCAGATCCAGAGGCACGTTTCTGCAAAACAGCAGAGAAGATACCAAACAGGGTGGGCGCTAGGACACAGCCCTGTTTCACTCCACTTTGGGTGTCAAAGGCATCTGATGTTGAACCGTCAACCACCATAGTGCCCTTCATGTCTTCATGGAAAGACCTGATGATTTTCAGGAGTCTCAATGGACATCCAGTCTTGAGGAGTATCTTGAAGAGTGCATCCCTGTCAACAAGATCAAAGACCTTTCTTAAGATCGCTACAAAGAGTGGCTGCCTCTGTTCCCTGCATTTCTCCTGTAGCTGTCTGATGGAAAAGACTAGGTCAATGGTGGACCTATCTGCATGGAATCCACACTCCATTTCGGGGTAAACTTTTGCTACAAGTACTGTCCTTAGAGCCTCATCAGTGCAACCCAAGTGAAGAGCTTCCCAATAATACTGAGGATAGTTGTTGCAATTGTTCATGTCATCCTTGTTAAAGCACAGTATGAAATTTTTGCCATTCCAGATGTCTACTGTAAATTAACATGAATCCTGGGTACTTCATATAATAAATGGCGGATGTAAAGTAAAATCTGCTCTGGATTTTAAAACGACATTTGAGTGGTTAATTGTTAAAGTGATGCAAGATATATATCATTCTCATTTTTCAGACTTTGTTTGCACAGATATTCTCAAAATGCTGTTGGCTTGTTCACTTTCTAAGTAAACACATGTCACCTGTTGCATCCTTATTGTTGACAAAACACAATTTTGCAATAACTGTCTAATTTCTCGTGCGCTGACTGGCTAATTTTATCATCAATAAGAGTACAGATGGATAAAATTTTAATTTATGCAAGCTTTCAGCTGCCAAACTGTCAACTTTTTAACCAATGAGATTTTATGGACTTTTTTAAGTAGCCAATCAAAAAGCGAGAAAAGCTATTGACAATGTTTGCGTCATTTTGATTAAAATTCACTTTGTTTATGGTAAGTTTATGGAATCTTTTCCCCTCATTTGTTCCCAGCATTTAACCATTTTGTGGTCTTGTTATTGTAAAAAAAAACAAGTTTTTTATGCATCTGTCCTCTTATTGATGATCAATTTTGTCATAGCATTGTCAAAGTTTACTGTGGAACCACTCACCTGCGGCTCGTGGTTCCTCAGCTACTTTGACAATGTTATGACACAATTTATCATCAATAAGAGGACAGACATATAAAAAACTGATCTCAATTTGTTAATTTTGAAAAGCAGCTAAGAGGTCTTGGAAAACAAAATAAACCAAGAAATACATGTGGAAATGTCTTTCAAGGAATTACAGTGTACTTATTAGATGCTAGTAAGATTGCAACATACATGCACAAGTAATTAACCTACAGAAATGAAAGCTATGGACATCTCATAACTAACTGATTAGAAATGCTTCACTTCTGTTTTAAATTTTATACTAACATGTAAATGTTCAATTATCAAAAGTACCTTTCTTTGAAGTGTTTTCATCCAGCACAAATGCAATGTCTTGAATGGTCATAGATGACTTCATCACAGAAACTAATTCAAGGGTGATTGTTAGATTTTCTACCTGTAGAGGAAGATATTTAGAATAAAATATCAAGCACTAATGCTCACAGTGCAAGGGTTGACCTATGACACCACCCACTCACCCTCACTCCACTACTACAGTAGTACAAGAAAAGCAACACAGAAGCACAAAATACATGTACCAGCACAGCATTGCTTCACCAATATTCCACTCTGCTTTCATTATTAATAAATCATCAGTAAAACAAGCAAAGCAATTTATATGATCTACATACAGATGTACATGTATATCAGGTTACACTACAGTACCTAGTAAAAAGAGAAGCATTTGGTTACCTTTCTACATTTCCATAAAATAATCAATCCTGATGAGATAGCTACCGATACAAATTCCCTTACAAATGCAGTCTTTAAAGAGAAGTGTGTTCCTAGAGCCTCTGGAAGATTGACAACAGCTCTAAACAAAATAAGGACCACAAAAATATGTACAGTAGTGAGTGTCTATTTTTCATCTTCTGCTCAACTACATGTAAACTGTACATGTATACAATGTACACCAGTTACACATGTAAAAAGTTTTATCCAACTTGCAGTCAAAATTTGATCATCCAGTTTTAATGTGTCAATATGGTTCAGCCTTTTCTCTATTAAGCTTACTTCCCACCTATAAGGGCACAAAAAATCGTTTTTTCTTTCAACCGGTGACAAAATCTCAAAAAGTGGGCCAGTTATTTAGAAAAAAACGTATTTTCAAATAAAGTTTATAAACCTAGAAGGTGTCATAATCGCTAAATGGATGAAACTACAAAGGGAAATTTTCACGGCAAACGCTCATCTTGGGGCTCATGTTTTATGTTATCTGGTATTTGCTCTTTTGCCTTTGGCTACTTTGCCCGTTGTAGTGTCTTTCTCTTCAATGCTACAGTGAGATAGAAAACGTGCTTCAATATGATGCTTTTCCCAGGAAATCATGATCCATTGTCATTGACACTAGGAGGTCCTGTTGTTCCATTGGTTTGCGGTTTCATAAGGCAAGATAATCTCCTGGTGAGGCGAGAGTTGTTTACAAATCTTAACAAGCTAAAATCTCGCATTTAATTTTGGGAGGAATACCTCCACTCTGAGCAAATTTATAGGGTATGCAGAATTGATAGATTGTCACGAAATTTTGCCAGAACATTCCAGGGATAATGACAAACGAAAGTGCGTCAGAAAATTTTGATATTTAACATATTTTTCCCGTGGTGTCCATTTACGCAACACGTCTCGTATATTTTTAGCTACTCCAACTTAAGATGTGGATATCTAGACAACCAATCAGAATATCGAAAAAGCCAGACACACTTTTGTTGATTGATGCCTTGTGAATAAGACTATGCAGCCATTTCGTTTGTGTGGAAGCATCTAATGGCCGATAAATTCAATGGAAGAACCTTCAGTCATTTCACGCCTTACCGGCTCCTGGCACTTCCTAAGAGAAAAACTCACTTAAATTGTATTTTTACCATAAACTACATGTAAGCTTTCTTCTGATGTATAGTTTGTTGGGGTTTCATTGAAACTGGCACGCGTGAGATTTTTTCCCAAAGTACACCCACAAAGGTGGGAAGTAACCTTAAATTACATGTACTCATGAAGTACGACTCACTATAATTTGCGCAAAAGCGAGTTTCTTATGTGCAGCCAAGAGAACAAAAGCAATTCTTAAGAAAAGTCTACAGTAACCTAAAAATGGTTACACTAGTATGGTACCATGCAGTTAAATATTAAATATTTTTTATCAAGAGAATTCAGATTTCCAGCTGTATGTCATAATACACGTTTTAAACAATGCCTGTGAGTCCTCTTTCAACTCCAAGTTTACAAACTGAATAATAGCATTACAAAGAACATTTGCATGAGCCTCAAACTTACAGCGTAGTGCAAATTAACTTACTTAAACTTGCCATCATTAACTGTATTCCTCTGAACATCTTGAGCTGTTATCTCCTTTGCAGTAAAACCAAGTGAGCTCATGACATCCCAAGCCCTGATTTCCAAACAACACTTTCCTTTCCCAGATTGAGATATCCCCAGTAAGGACATCCCTCCATTTTCATGTGTTACAAATGCAGTGCTTACTCCCTCCTCCAGTGATAAAGGTGGGATCTCCCTCTGAGGTAAACAAAAATAATTTAAGATTAATAATATTT